AAAAAAAGCGTTTAAAAAGGCCATTCCGGCATTTAATGTGTTATTTGTTATGTTATGTAATATTCCATTGAGCAGTATTGAGTCCCTCAGCCTCATCAGTTTGCATAACCAGCATGCATAAAAACATGATACAGCCTTTGGGAATTTTTATGTGGTAAAGAAATGCACGGACGTAGAGGCCTACAAATATATACGTGATATTCAACTTCTTAGCAGTAACTAGAGGTGGGCGATATGGCACAAATATTATATTGCGATACTTCAAGAAATGATCACAATACACAATATGTTGTGATATTTCTTTGTTCAGACATCTGAGCAGTTGGAACAGAGGAAAAAGAGCCAGTAGAGCTACTTTAAAAAACACCATCAAAAAACTATGTTGCACCAAATCCAGTTAAACAGGACTAATTTGCTGTCTTTATAATGAAACAGGCAGTTGGTCAGTGTTTTTCAAGTACTGACAATATACACGTTATGTTCAGAAAAGTATATTATGTCATATTAATCTTTTAATACTGTATGAAATGTCTTTGTGGTTTAAAGTGAACTGTTATTTGGCAACAGTTACGTTAGAAGATGCTGCGTCACACCAGAGGCCTGGCAAACGGTGTTTTTTACTGTCAAAGTCGTTTCAGAGGAAAAAAAAAAAGCTTTGAAAAACCAGACCAAGTGACGTCTTTGGTCATGTATCAAGCAGACAGAGCACCCAGGCCCCAAGAATTAGAGTGCAAGTCGTAATTTTTTATTATTTTTTTATTTTTTGCAGAATTTGAAAATACCAGCTTTACAATGTATTTAAATTTAATGATGAATGGGCCGATAGAAATAGTGGTGGGTGACATGGCAAAAATATTATATCACAATACCTATATCACAAAATTTTCGTGATGCATGATATATCACAGTATTTATTTTTCAGACATCTCATCAGTTGGAACAGAGTAAAAAAACAGTAGTGCTAATTTTGAAAAAGCTGTCAAAAACCGTGAATAAGATAAGTTATTTTTATTCAACAGTTGGCACACTATGCCCTAAATCCAGTTAAACAGGACTAATTTTGCTCTCTTCATAATGAAACAGGCAGTTACAATATAAATGATATGTTCAGAAAAGCCTATTGTATTGCATTGTGACATCATTTATCACAATAATGATCTATATTGTCATATTGCCCAGCCCTAGCAGTAATGTTAGCTATCTGCTGGCTTTCTTCTGCATTTGGCAGGTAGCTAAAAAAACCTGATGTATCATGTAAACATTTGTTTCTTGTCCAAACAGTCCATAAATGGAAACTAAGCTGCACATTTTGAATCCACTGTCTTTATGATGTCATAAAAACCAATGCATTTACATCTGTCTGCCTATTCAGCCTAGAGAAGTTTAGCTTTGCCCATTCATGCTGAAGTTATAAGGAGTGTTGCAGCAAAGCAAAGAGTTTGAATGAGACAGAATGCGGGACCCCCAGTTACAACAGAGGTCATTTGCACATTTCAGTTAAATGCACAGTAACAAAAACAGCCTGTTTAATGCTATGGGATGAAGAGAGGTTGGAAAATGCTCATGTAAAAATTAATAATGGCTGTTTTTGATACTGAAACCCACACAGATGTCTTTAGTGGAAAATAAACCATGTAAAATTTCGGCCCTTTAATATGACACCTTAAACAAAGCTGAAGCACAGCTGCTTTTAAAAGGGGCAAGCAGTGATTGTTAAACTGCCTTGCAGTGTCAGAAGGGAGGCTTGGCCTCTCCTGCAAAGTGGAACATGGGGAAACTGGTATGTTCAGCTTTGTCCACATCTTACTGCCAGGCCTGTCTGATTCAGCAAGTCTCACTCATTTACAGGCAGTTTATGACGGCATATGGAGATTTGTGTTGAAATCTGCGGAGCTGCGGTTGGCAGTGACGATTCCTTCGTAACGGATTTGTGGTTGTCACTTTTCTTGCTGTTTCTTTCCAAAAGGGATCCTTCTCTGTCTTGTCTGTATCTGTTGTTCATCAGTTAAAGGGCCCATGTCGTGTAAAACTGAAAGGAATTTGGAATAATATGTTAACACAAAGTTTCAGAACATTCACTTCTGGTCCATACAGTCCATATATGGAAAGTAAGCTGCCAAAACAGCCTGTTTAGAACTCACTCTTTCACACATTTACACCTATTCATCCTGCAGCGATTTAGCTCCACTCATACATACTTGTGTGTTCAGACCATGCCGTCAACATGTGGAGGTAGTATGAGGGAAGACTGATTGAGGGAGGGGACAGAGAACTCTGAGAACTTGGCCTGAAGTTCTGGGCAGCCTGTAGATAGGTCAGCTTTTAGAGGCATTGAACTCTCGGACGTCTGGTTCCTATCACCACCACTGTAATGTATGTCTTCAGAGTATTACATATCACTTTGTTTTCATAGCTGCGGCATTGATTTTAGTGACAGTCAGTCAATAAGCAATAAGTGATCACCCTGCATGTGGCCCTCTGCCATGAATGGATTGACATACATTTTTAGCCAAAACTTTATCACAAAACTATCTATCTATCAAATGTATTGTGGGTTAGGCTTCTTTTTCACGCTCTCTGTGCCGTAAAATACATGACTGGTTAGTTATTCAAGTCTGAGGGATGTTATATCATTCTGTCCAGCTGCAGCTGAGCAAATGTCCTTACCCATCATCTGGAGCTTTGCAGATGCTGGTCATGACTGCCACCTTGTGGATATTAAATGTATTGTACCATGTTGTAGTGTGTGTGTGTGTGTGTGTGTGTGTGTGTGTGTGTGTGTGTATATATATACACACACACACATATAAATATGTATGTATGTATGCATGTATGTATATCTCACTGTTGTCGGAAGAAAACCTTGAATCTCCAAAATTACAACTTTACAGGAAAAGGAAAAAACCTACTTTACTTTTAATGTAAGTCAATGAAACCAGACTTTTTTCCAAGTAATTTTGGGCCGTTTCTGTGGGTCCATTTATCGTGAGATTTACACACAAAGTAAAGTGCAACAGACATTTTCAAATTATGTCAAAAACTGAAAAACGATTTCTTCCGACAACAGCGATATGAAATGTATGACATGTTTCTGTATCAGTTCTGAACATTTTATATATATATATATATATATATATATATATATATATATATACATATGTGTGTGTGTGTGTGTGTGTGTGTGTGTGTGTGTAGATACACATATTTAGTACTGATACAGAAACATTTCATACATTTCATTTTTATTTAACATTTGGAGCTTCTTCACAAAAATAGTTATCACACTATGATAGTTTTGATAAGGTTTTGCTATTACATATTTTTAAAATACATGGTCCCCCTTTATTTGGATGGTCCTCTGTAGATGTTCTACAGATACTGAAATCATTAACAAAATTTCTGGTTATATTCAGTTGACTATCAACAACATTATGGTTAGGGATAGGGAGTAGGTGTAGGTTTTGCCTTGAGGTTAGGATTAGGGTTAGGTTTAGGGTTAGGGTTAGGGATAGATTTAATAAAATCTTACATACTGAACTTGAAGATCTGTTGCATTTAATAAAAATTTAGTTAAATGTTACTTAAAAACAGACCAAGCATTTACAAAGCATCTACAGTGGACCATCCAAATAAAGTGTTACCAAATCCATTTATTTATGGCCTTTATGCTTAAATCACAGAACTGTGTAATCTGAAGACTGAATTCCCTAATTTCCCATTTTAACTACTCTTTTCCACTGCTAAGGTGCTAATTAGCTCAATTTGAGAATAGTTTGACTTTTTATTTCAGATACTATAGTATATATTGCAGTTTGACTTTGTCCTGATATCAGTCAGCACTATTACAGGTTGCACATTCCTTCGTGTTGCTGGGACTACTTCAAAAAAACGTGGGAAAGCTGCATGGAGCAGAGTGTTCATGCTCAGAGTTGCCCTCAGCTCTGTAACTCTCCCATTACATTCACATTACATTTTTAAGCTAGTCCTGACAGATCCCTCAAGCTCTGCAAGTGATCTGGATTCAGTGTTTTTTCTTCTGGAGAAGAGCCAGACTAAATGTTTGTGAGGGAATGTATAAAGGGCAGATGAATCAGCTTCTCACACATGTCAAAAAACAGAAAACATATTCTGTTTAAATTACACAAAAGCCTCAACAACTAAATGTAATACCACGTTTTCAGTATTTAGTGTATCCACCACACAAACTTTAAGTTTTTCAAAGAAATCTGTGGGTGTTTTTTTCCACGCCTCCAAAGTTCAGTCTACGAAGTTAGTTGCACTCTCCTTTTCTCGTGATCCATGTAATCCCAAACACCTCTGGGGTTTGTTTGATTTGCAAAAGTTCTTTTTTTGTCTACTTCTTTTTCTCAGTGAGGCCTTCTTGACAGCTACACATCCGTTCAGACCCATAGTGAGTCGTCTTCTCACAGTGGAAGGATGGACAGAAACACCTGTGGATGTTTTCAGATCTGAAGCAGCTTGATTTTCTCCTCTGTCTCACAGATGAAAGTGTTGTTGATTTGATGAGGACAGTTTATACGTGGGCTAGCAGGTCTTGTAGGTGGTTGTTATGAGGCCTGTTTTCTCCACAGCTTTTGATCATTTTTTCAACTCCTATTTTTGACTTAGTCCATAAAACTGGACTGTTTTATATCTAATCCCGTGGGAATATGAAAGATGAATAACCCGTACTTAATGTCCCGTTTTGACTGAAAATGAAATGGTCTCTCAGACCGTAACCACACCATGACGAAAAAAAGTGTGCATATAGTGCGTAAATTACGGTAAAAGATTGTACGGTCTATTATGTCGATTTCGAAACGAGAAATATTAAAAGATTTTGCGTTTGGAAATGACTGTGCGGTATCTTGAGTGATTGACACGCAGTTTTTACTACGCTTAACGAATCGATGACTAGTTATGTCCAATATTAGGTCAGCAATAGATGTTTAGAGTCGCGGCTGCGCGTGTTTTCGGTACATTACGGTAGAGCCGTCCCGCTGTTGATATCTCCGCACTGTAGTACTGATGTGTGGAGCTGGAAGCCTCACACGGGGAAGATGAGCAGTATGGACGACGATACAGAGCCGTGTGGCCCTACACCATCCCGAGAGCTCACCCAAAACCCGCTGAAGAAAATATGGATGCCTTGCAAAAACGGCCTTCCAGAAAGGCACATATTTCAGAGGAAGGGTATGTAGCGTTAGCCTGAGAGACGAGCTTCGTGTTCGAATTTTGTGGTTCCACCTTAAATGGCCCAGCAGTTACGCTCTGGCGCCTGAGGCGTTATAATTACAGCTGCGTGATTTAAGGTGGAACGGGAAAAAGAAGCTGACTGTGCCGGTGTTTCAGTGGCCTGGAGCTCCACCTCGGCTGAGGCTTAAAACAGATATTCTTTTGTGCTTCTGTTGGCTTTACTTATCTCTTAAAATGACCTGTGATGAAAGTGGATAGTGATATTTTTGCTATTCCTCAGCTAATACTAAATTGAAGTATTCAAGAATCCAAGAATCAATTAACCGAAATTGGGGCTTCGGATGTGCTTAAAGGAGAATTCCACCCATTTTTTTTTTTTTTCTGCATAATTACATCCTTGAGGTGTAAACAAAGTCATGCAGAGCGTTTTGATGTGAAGTGCTCCGTTTTTGATAAAACATACAAAGTCTGATTTGTTAAGAGTGCTGGTGATAGGAACCAGACATCACCTGGAGTGTTTAATGCCTCTAAAGACTCCCTCACAGAAAGGTATTACTCAAAATTGCTACAAATACACTTCCTAATGCCTGAGACATTGATTTACAATTGTTTTGTGAAGAAGTTTGGGCCTAACATGTATTCCCTTAAATCAATTCATGGCAGAGGGGGACATTCAGGGCGTTATTTGGCAAAATAGTCCCCATTCCCCATCATTTTTCAGATTTACTACTATTTTGCCATTATAACATTACATTTAAAACCCCTTAGGAGATACATGTTGGTTTATTGGTCGTTCTGGATAGTAAATAAAATGGCAATATTTGTGTTGTACTCATAATGACCTCTGGTTCCCATCACCAACACTGTAAAAAAAATCAGCAAGTCAGCAAGTTTCTCTACAATGCACCATTTCACATCACACCACTCTGAATGACTATGTTTACATCCACTGAGTTGTGCAGAAATCTTGGTGGAATTCCCCTTTCATCTACATTTTAGAGCATTTACAGCCACCTACTATGTTGGGTAAAGTGAGAAAGATGAATGTGGTCAGTACAGTAAAAGCCACAAGCAAAAGTTAATGCCTTCATTGTAGTGGGCAGCATGCCGGAGGGACCTGTGATGATGAGCAGGTGTTTGCATGCGATGGAGAGCCTGCTGTTGTCCTCTGAGATTACATGCTTTCATTTTTTTAGGACTAATCTGATGCAATAGCATCATTTGTCCCACTCACTGCTTTTTGTTGCTGTGCCATTCATGACAAAGTAGTAAACATGATGGTGTAACACAGAGACCTAATATACTATTAAACCTAATCACTTTATGACTCCTCCTAACAAAAAGGAAATGTGAGTGGGCCCTTTGTGGCTTTTTAAACCCCACAAAGGCCTTAGATTTGGGGTCTCCATTACTGATAGTGATGCTTGGGTGGGTTGTTTGGACATGCTCCTTCACCTCCTTTGTTTCAGACTGTGAGGACATTGCTATGTAACATTGTGCAATTTTATGTCTGCTGAGATTTTGCATGACCTCTGCCCTACAGCGACAACGCTCTGCATTTCATTTTCCGCTGTAAAGAGGGAGCAGAGTGTCAGTTGTGCTACGATTGTTACTGGTTATCAGTTAGTTACTGCAATTTAATTATAGCCGTAATAAATGCTGAAAACATGGAAGTTTAAAACCTCGTAAATGCGGGACTAGCAGCACGAAAAAGAGTGTTACACAATCTTTCTGTTTCTTGTATGATCTGATGATGTGTATGTTTTTGTCGTTTCAGTATGCATGACCAACTGCCCCACTCTCATTGTCACGGTGGGCCTCCCAGCCCGGGGGAAAACCTACATTTCCAAGAAACTGACCCGCTACCTCAACTGGATTGGTGTGCCAACAAAAGGTAAGGATGTAGACAGAACACGTATTAAGAGCTTAAAGGGCCCATATCATGTGAATAAAGGTGATTTTTATTTTTTTTTTTGTGTAGTATGCAAACATGTCTAAGATTTCAAAATGTGCCATCAACTCCACCGTCCAGTGTAAAACAGTTTAGTTTTAAATGTACTGTTTTGTGATGTCAATGCAGGGCAACCAATGAGAACAGAGATCATTTACATAGCTCAGTCTTAAAGGGATAGTTTGTCTCAAAATCTAATTTCCACAGTTTTCCACGTGACCCACATGTAGTTGATTGGCTGCAACATTTTTGGAGTCTACATTTTGCTTCGTTAGTTCAGAACTAGGGTGGCGAGGTGAATATTGCCAACGAACACTAGAATTCAGTAGTCACCCAAATAACCCAAATGGTTTCTGTAAAAATTCATCAGCAAACTGCATCCAGGTCTTCATTAATGTGGCACAGACTTATAAATGTGGTTTAATATATGCGGTTTATAAAAGGTTGAGTGGGTTTAGACAAGTTTTGGGAATGTATTTGTGGAAAAGATTCGGATACTATTGAGTTCTATGGGTTGTTAGCAACATTAGCCCTGTAGCTCCAGTTCTAAACTAGAAAAGCAGAATTTTCACTCCAAACATGTTTTGGCTGATCTTATACATCTAAGGAAATTTAAGTGGAAAATTTGCCAAACTATTCCTTTAAAATCCCAGTAAGAAGAAGAGCTCGGAAGAGCCTGGGCAGTTCATTCATTCATTGATGGTTCATGCATTTTTTAAATGTGCATATTATAATTAGTTATAACTGTTTTTTGTGCATTACCCACACAAATATCATAGGTGGAAAAATAAATACAAGAAAAATACAAATTACAATATGAACCCTTTAAGCAGTGGAACATGAGTGCATTATAGTGCAGATAACATCATGGCAGTGATTTGGTCAGAGACACAAGCTAAAAACTGCAGTGTTATTTGCAATAATACGTTTTAGAGTGATCAGTTCCATTTACATAGTGGTTTTACAAAGTACAGAAAAATAAAAGCCTTAAAATGTTGTTTCAGGTGTATGTTTTGAATATTAGCAGTTTCTTCTGCCAGTAAAAGTAGCTCCAGCAGCTCAAAGTGAATATTCTTGTTTCCTAGCAATCAGTGGTCAGCGGAATAAGGCATGTGTGGTTAAAAAAAGTGCTGTAACTGGATATAAAAACAAAGGTAGAGAGATTTTCAACTAATCAGGTTGTGTGATTGGGGCAGATGTTGATTTAAGATAAGATAATCCTTTATTAGTCCCACCACAGGGGAAATTTACAGGGCTACAGCAGCAAAGGGAGAGCAAGGCACTCCAGAAAAGAGTAACAAGAAGAGAGTTAACAAACAAGGTATTAACCTTGTTAATTTCAAAAAACAAGGTTACAGTTTGTTACTTATTATTACCATATATACAATATATATATTAATAGATAAAAAAAATAAACTAAAGATAAAAATATAAACTCTATTCTAATTTATATTTATCTAATTTTATCTAATTTTATCTTTATTCTGTCCGAACTGCAACTGCAGCATTATTGTGCCGTTGTGGCGCTGAACCCCTAATCAACACAGTGCACCAGGAAAAACAGCCAAAATCACAGAGGAATTGCGTGACCGCGCTGTGAGCGGCAGACAGTGCAGAACTCACACAGTGTGAGTTCACCTGTGGAGCTGCTTCTCTAAAAGCATTTTAAAACTAAAACATAACTTAAAATTAACGTGCATCTGAGCTGTGGCAGCAACACTCCTAAAGTTTAATCTCTGAAACTCTGCTTTTCCCAAAAGCGGCACACAGCGTTTACTCACGCAAGGTCCCGTCTCAAAGCACACTATCTTCCCTATCTAGTGCACTTCGTGGATCAAGACATAGCAAATCCTTCACCCAAAGAGTGCAGGAAACGTTCGACTAAGTTCGACTAACATTGTTAATGTTGATTAATCTATAATCAACATTAACAACAGGTTACAAATTCCCTATTTAAAACTCAACTGCTTGTTAATGATGATCGTGTTTGTTTGAGAAGTAGCGCACTATGTAGGGGACACAGTGATTTGAGACGGTGTTACTCTCCTCTCAGACAGTAAACACTGCAAGCAAGAAAGGGGAGCTGTGCAGATTGAACCTCTGCAGCGTCTCGTCCCAGAGCTTGTGTGACTGTTAACTCAGAGCTCATTTTGGAGACTCTGCTCCACAGAAATGTGTGTTAAAAGCTTTAGTTTCGATTCACAGCTGATTCACCGATTGTTTTTTTTTTTACGCTAAAAGCTTCATTTTATATTATTAACGAACCATAAGCATAAGTTAAGCCACACAAACCATGACATTTCTTCTATTTCGAAGTCCCCACAGACTTCTCCGTTAAAGTTAACCTTGCATTCTCTAAAAAGTAGCAGGTGGTGGTTGCGAAGATGGCTCGTAAGGTTTGATTTGTTGCCCCCTTTCGCCGCTATTTTCTTTCGGCCTGTTCTGCAGACAGGGTGGTCATCTGCAGACAGTGTGGTCATCTTCAATTAACTTTCCTTCTGCATCCTTATAAAACCCAAAACATGACCAAATGTCAGACTTGGTCTTCATAGAAGGCTGAAATATCTCCGAATCTCTGTCACTACATTTCGCCATGTTCTCTCTTCTCTCCCTCTCACCACCCCCCCCTTCCCCTCTACACACGCACACACACACACACACACACAGAGCTGCGTCTGAGAGATGATTCTGCCTGTTTGACTCTGTAAAGCGAGTTTTTCACACCACGGTAATCGACCGCGGTTTTAACGATACTTTAAAGTTCAAACGGTACTACTAACCGTCATTAATTTTACCGCAGTTTACCGTGAAACCGGTTACCGTTTCATCTCTAGTTTGCAGATGTTGCTGTGAAATGCCTTAAAATTTGAGATTTCAGTTCTTGATAGAGTTAACGATATTTGTCTGTTGCTATTTGTCTAAAATAGTCCTTTTTTCTTTTGTTCCCCAGAGTTTAACGTTGGGCAGTACAGACGAGAATGTGTGAAGATCTACAAGTCATTCGAGTTTTTCCGACCTGACAACGAGGAGGGGCTTAAAATCAGAAAGTAAGACTTCGTGTAGACAGTGATTGAGCTGTCAGTGGTGTTACATGTAAATATTAGTTAAATGTACTTTACAGTTCGGTATTAAAACTTAAGTGAAAAATAAAATGTACAGTTTTCGCCTATAACCCAAATGTAATTGATCAGCTAAGACATATTTCTGGTCCAGTTTTTGCTTCATTAGTTTTGTGCTGGAGTGGTAGGAGAAGTGAGCCATCAACCCGAAGGTTGCGGGTTCAAATCCCATGACTGACTAGGTATACCTGGTTGTGCCCTTGGGCAAGACACTTAACTCTCACTGCCCCAGGTGGCGCTGCTCTGCTGGTAACGTTGTGCTGCTCCCGGGTTGGGCATAGTTAGGCAGCAAAATGAGAAATTAACATGTAGCTAACAAGTAAAAACTTTAACATATCTATTACTTCATATTATTTCATATGTAGCCCCTGAAAGGACATGGGTGGAGCAAAATGACATGGCTTTTCTATACTGAGTGAAAGCGAGTATCGCTAGAAACAAGCCCGCTGGCTAGTGTCGGTGAAATTTAACGTTCCTGATGTGTTTACCTGCTCTAAACAGTAGACCTCATGATTATCATCATAGATTTAACCAACTACTATGAGTTGAGAAAACCATCCCACATTCCTGAGCAGGAATTCTTAGCATCCTTTGATTTTTCCTAGTTGGAGGTGGGAAATACTAACGTAAGAGCACGGTATTCCGTACACTTCAGTATTCCGTACACTTGCAAATATTTCTGTCTGTGTAATAAAAACCACTTTCTTGACATTTGTCAAAGATACATCTGAGACATTATCATATATCCCTTTTTCCATCAAATCGGTTGGAAAGACCATCTAAGCTGGGTTTGGACATCAAATCTATGCAAATAGTGACCGTCCTCCCCAGCGCCACACGAACATGGCGAGTGGGGAAACCCAGGGATGCGAATGTGAATGGGGTGGGGAAAACGTTCACGACCGGTTAAAATGCATTTTTGCACGTTTAAACATCATATTTAACACTAAAATGACTATTAAACAGTGGATTATCACCATGAAACACAGTGTGTTTAGTACTGAGTTGTTAATCTAAGTTTACACCGTCAGCTAATTTACCTCAGCAGACTCCTTTCAGCTGCGCAGCTTCACAGCACTGCCTCACTTTACTGGGCTTTTTTTTCATGGTAGCCTCATTCACTGCACATATTGTTTATAATAATTCAATTTTATAATCAGTATAATCAGTTAATGTCTATTTTTATGCAATTAGATTTCATAAAACTTCAAATAAAATGCAGGGAAAACACTGTATGGAAAACTGCTCCTTCTGTGGAAGCTGGTGTACGGAGTACTGACGGCACAAACTGCGGACGCAGATGACGTTTTTTTCTTATTTCTTTAAAAGTATTGGCCCAAATGTGACCAATCAAAGTGCATATCGGTTGCTAGGCAGATTTTGCAGAGTCCAACCAATCATTAAATCGTGTATGACTTCGGGTGTTTCCGCAATAACTACTAAAACGGAATACAGTGTTCTTACATTAAGTTATGAGCTTCAGTCGAATGCAGCATTAGCTTCCATGGCTTGTTAGCTACATTAGCCTTGTGCCTTCAGAGAAAAACCATAGCAGCAGACATTGGACATCAAATATGCCTTGACCCATCGGCTGCATTTGGGGTAACGGGAAAAACTGTGCAAATTTAATGTTGGGCTGAACGTTAGCTTTAAGTGTTGTTAGGCTGCCGCTGGCGTTTAGGCTCACTGCTAGCCAGAAGACTCGAGAAGCTCACTGACCTTGGCAGTGAAAAGGCCTAGATTGTTTTCTGCTCTGTTGCTAAGTAACATACCGGCTAATCAGGGTGATTGGTCAAGTGTTAGTTAGGTGCTTAGCATCCCCCCTCAAGCATGTTGAGACACTTGAGAGCTGCAGTCTTCAAAAGATGTACCTGTTTTATATTTTGGATTCACTGTTTTTGATAATATAGTGGTGGTTTTGTTACAGATAAATATATAAAATGATTCTAATGATATTTATACTCTAAACTGTATACATTTACAATTATTTGTAGGAAGCTACATATTGGATGTGTCCAGGTCAAGCTCAGTGACAGTCAGAAAAGAAGTTATAATAAAATTTAATATCCAGAATTCCTCATCTTTGAAAAGTGGTGATTGAATCCTGAGGCAGGTAACTTATTACAAATAATGACTAGGCTAGAAGTAGGTAATTGCAGAACATATTGTACCTCACAAAACTATTAACATTGAATACAAATACTTTCTTTTGTCTATTTTATATTGTTTAAATAGACCCTGTGTAACTTTTTATTGATTATCAATTTAACAAGTGATTCCAAACTTTTGAATCGTATGACTACGCTTTAAAGGAGCCCTGAAAATTCATCATAAAAGGAAAAGTTCACCACATTACAATCTTTAAATTCTGGGTAACACATTATTTGAACTGCAACAGAACAGTGACATAACCATGCCATAAACATATAACGGCAGATGTTATTTGCTGTCATGACAGATTATCGTTATGGCATCTGTCATGACAATTACTGTTAATAGCAACATGACGGAGCGGATATAAAATCTTATGACAACTCATGACATCTGCTATGATATGCCATGGTTACGTTAATGTTATGTAGCAGGGCTCAAGTAAAGTTAATTTAATTAAAATCTTGTGACTCTTTGTTTTTTATCAGGCAGTGTGCATCAGCAGCTCTAAACGACGTGCGTCAGTATCTCACCGAGGAGGGCGGACAAGTGGCGGTGAGTAAAAACTTATGTTTATACATGTGTATAATTTTAAAGCTGTAGACTACAACCTTATAATGGCCCATATAATGGGAAACCAAATCTTTTTGCACTGTTTTTTTAAATGAAAGAGTTTGATGTAATTAAACACTGTTTGAAAATGTGGTGCTCCACAGTCCATAAATGGAAACTAAGTTGTAAAAACAGCCAGTTTTCATTGCTTTGGTGATCGACTCATTTACACATATTGTCTTATTCAGACTACAGCAGTTGGTCCCACCCATTCATGCTGAAGTTATAAGTAGTGTTTCCACCTGGAGACACAATACAAAAAAATAGCTCATTTACATGTATCAGTAACACCCTATTTAAATCTAAGGCACAAAAAGAGGTTAGAAAATGGTCACACAAAAATGAACCATTACTGTTTTAGGTGCATAAAACCCTACAGACTTTATAAGAGAACTTCAGGGGGAAAAATAAAATACAACAGAAAAGTAGAATGTGGGCTCTTCAATATCTAATGCTGTGCTTTACACTTTATTCTACACAGCTGTCTCTGTTTAATTCCCATATTTCATGTGTATTTGCTTTTTTCACTCTCACTTTTTTCTTGACCATGGCAGGTATTTGATGCCACAAACACCACAAGAGAAAGACGAGAGACAATCAACCGGTTCGCCGAACAAAACGGCTTTAAGGTGCAATAACGAATTCCTGTTGTTTTCGTGTTGTTTTTTTGCTGTTGGCTGTGAGGAAAAACATTTGCAACAGCGATGATAAGCGTGTCCTCATCACTTCTGCCTTGCCTCTTTATTTTGCACTGTGTTGACATCAGTGTGCTGCATTTTGTAATTTTAGAGCTGATGAGATTGCGTTTGACCTCTGCTCTATATTGACAACATGCATTATCTTTCTTTCTTCACAGGTTTTCTTCGTTGAGTCTGTCTGTGAAGACCCTGATGTTATCGCAGAAAACATTGTGGTGCGTATCAGTACTTAACTTTCAGTCGCATTTTCACTGTTAAAGCAGTAGTTATTGCCTTTATTCCGAATGTAGTCGATTAGCCAAGTGTACGAAGTTTGCTTCTTTAGTTTTGCACTGGAGCTGCCAGGCTAATGTAGCTAACAAGTAGGGCTGAAACAGTTGCTCAACATTATCAGCAGTAAAAAGTCAACAATAAAAAAATCATTGACAGATATTTCTGTCGATTTTTCATTTACATTTTCAAAGTGAATCCAACCTAGAGTGACTTAGGCCCAGTCCCATCTCACCCCTCGCCCCTAACACTTAGCCCTGACCCCTCTGTTTTGCGTGTTCACTCCTAGGGGTAGGGTGTCCAGATTTTTGTTGAGATTAAGGGTAGGGCAAAGTGTTAGGACTACATGGCCCTCCAAACGGAGATTTTTTAGAGGCATAGTCCAAACAGAGTGTTATGAGAAATGAAGAAAAACTGGCAAGATGGCTGAGCAAGCAACCAAAAAACAAATGTAAAAAAATACAATAACCATTATATTATCTTAGTTTAATGTTGTTTCAATGTATTATGGTCCTTTTCTTCATAACCAGCATAAAAAACACTAGTAGTTTGCTGATGTCTTGGTAGCTAGCTAGCTAAATTTCCTGTTCCACTTTAAATGGTGCAACAGTTACATTCTGAAGCCTCAGGCGTTAGAGCTACTGCACCAGTTAAGGTGGAACAGGAAAATTCAAACAAGAAGCTGGCGAATAGCTGACTTCAGCTTCATATCACTGAAGAATTTGGGATGGGCGATAATAAGTAATTGCCATCCCCCTCTTTGAAGGCTGTAGCCTGTTAATGAATTAATGTTGTTTTTTTATTGGACTGTGGAGCAGTGGAGCTGGGTTCTCTGGAGAGATGGAGCCCAGTACCTTTGGGATGAGTTGAAGTGATCCAGAACTGATCATCAAACATCAGTACCTGGCTTCACTAATGCTCTTGCGGCTGAATGCAATCAGATCCTCACAGCAATGTTCCAACATCATGTGTAAAGCCTTTCCAGAAGAGCAGAGGCCGCTACTGCAGCAAAGAGATGACAGACGTCCAATTGAATACCTTTAATTTCATAAGAAACAGTAGATGAGCAGGTGTCTACAAACTTTTGGACATGTAGAAAGCTACACTATACAACTGCTTAATTAGCTTAAAATACAGATAATTTTCTAAGCATAGTTTTCACACGAAAATGCCATCTGCTTTTCCTGGGAATCTGTTCACACAGAGCTAATCTGGTGAACTAGTACGTTAAAATGTTAAATGATGCTGCAGCATGAAGAGCTGTAACATTAATATACATGTTTACTATTATAACACTTATTTTTAGCCATTGCTTGTTACTTACTGTAGCTTAAAATGACAGGTTTAAACAAACCACCACATGTTCTATTTTCGTGGAGGTACTTTAGTGTGTCAGAACATTGCCAAACTTTTTATTGTTACAGCTCTTCACATTTACAGGCGACATTTAAGCAGATTAATCAGGTTTGTGAATGAATCAGAGTCAGTTCATTCACATGAATAATCGAATAGCAAAATATTAGTTTTTGCAGCCCTGCTAACACAAACACAACAGAATGGACAAAGTTCAGACTGAGTGATGGCTACTGTTTTTATTTAGGTGTTCTACAGTGTCAGAAACCACTGAACAGTTTTATATTAGCCTTCCTTTAGTAAATCCAGTGAAAAACTAAAGATGTAAATATTGCTGAACTTAATTCTGCAGTGGCTTGTGTTGCTGTATATTGTTGTCTGTGTCACTCTTCATGTTGAATTTGTCTCCTTGTCGCAGCAAGTGAAGCTGGGTAGCCCGGACTACACTCACTGTAACACAGAGCAGGCCGTGGAGGACTTCATGAAGAGGATAAAGTGCTATGAGAACTCGTACCAGCCTCTGGATGAGGTGCTGGACAGGTGAGGGAGAGAATCGCCCTCATCAGCAGCTCTGTTTATTCAGGGACTGCCCAGGGGGTTTATAATCAAAACCTATGCACCTTTTAAAATTTATCAGATTAGGAAACAGTTGGGTATTTTACACTGTCTGACTGATTTTTGTAGATTTTAATGGTGACTAAAAAATTTGGGGTCTCTCAGGCTCTCTGCAGGCTTCCTTTCCTCACTCCAATAACTTTGCATTGCTTGCTGTGTAGTTACTAAATAATAAGTATGGCCCCACTGATATAAACAGTTTTGCACCTGCTGAGTTTAAGGGGCTAAAATTTCTGATAAGCATTAATACTGGCCAATATAAATTAATATTTTTTATATAGTTTTAGATTTTAATTTTATACTCTGGTATTTCAAGTTGTCTTTGAATACTCTTTTATAGTGCTCACAGTAATCAGATTCACCTGCTCAGGGAAAAGGAAAGACGCACAGCCGGCATTACAAAACACCCACATTGCATGCGATTACACATTTTCACCAGAGGGGTCTCCAAATCCCGGAATCTTATATAGTGTAGCTTTAAGTAATGATGATATACACAATATGATCAGAATAGCTTATTGAAATGTAATTTATCATGATAATGACAAAATATCATAGTTTTGCCCACCTCGAAATTCATTCTGCATATGTGTTAGTGTTCCTGTACTACCAACTTAAGTGCAAGATTCGTTTGATTTTTGTTTGGGTATTTTTACCTAGTTGTTCTAGTTTTTTGTAGCATTGTATAAAAAACAGTTTTTAAGATTCTTGTATTCCTCTGTCATTTTTACCAGCTTGTCTAAGAACCTCAATCAATCAGCTCTTTTGTCTTCTTGAATCGTCTTTTTCTTAATCTGCCACACAGAGAATTGTCCTTCATAAAGATCATTGACGTGGGTCGGCGGTACCTGGTGAACCGGGTACAGGACCACATCCAGAGCCGGATTGTGTATTACCTCATGAACATTCACATTACTCCACGCTCCATCTACCTGTGCCGGCACGGAGAGAGTGACCTGAACGTTAGAGGACGAATCGGGGGAGACTCTGGTCTTACAGCCCGGGGAAAGGAGGTGAGGATAGGAAAGTATATATAAATATAAAGTAGTTATATTAAGTTTTGATACTATGTTTGGTACTGCTAATGCGTTCGACTGAAGCCCGTAATGTGGAATTTTCCACCTCCAACAAGGAAAAATCAAAGAAAATGCTGCCTCAACTGGTAATTCCTACTCAGAAAGACAGGATGATGCTCTCAACTCCAAGCTCAGCCACTTCTGAGCTCTGAACCAGCCTCTCTGCTGTTAAATGAGATTTGCTGTAGATTTAGCAACATACAAATGGTAGCTTGAACATGTGGAGGTTGAAAATGATGTAATTCCGAGTTCCGACTTCCTACATTTGAACTCAGCGTTAATCTTTTTGCCACTGCACAGACTATACATCTTAGTATAAGCTGCTGCTTTGGGAGTAAAGGTGGGAGGTGCAGCCCACTGAGCTTTTATGAGGTTTGCGAGTTGAAACGGATCAAATATGGAGCAGTATTCAAAAAAGACTTTTATTGTGAAGCAAACAATTCGTAATAATAATTGAATAAAATAAGGTCATATAGTGTCATAATGGGCTGTCTGTATTTGATCCAAACTGACAGATCATGCATCTCCATCCTGATTGTTTTGTCTCTCCCTCCGTCTCTGTCAGTTTGCCCGCTGTCTGGGACAGTTCATCCATGCGCAGGGCATCAGTGACCTGAAGGTGTGGACGAGTCAGATGAAGAGAACCATTCAGACGGCGGAGGCTGTGGGTGTTCCGTATGAGCAGTGGAAAGCTCTTAATGAAATAGACGCTGTAAGTTCTAATGCATATCTATATGGTATAATTAAGGGGTGTTATATATGCAGTAGAATATTGTTCATGTTCAAACATAAAAGTACCCAAAAAGCTTATGTTGCCTTTATTATCACCAGTCATCTTTATTTATTTAGTGTGTCCTTAAGTACTTGTGAAAAACCATATTGAATCAAATCAAGTTTTATGATGCTCTGCATCTTTCCTGACGAATCAGATCATTGTGATGAGATTTACAATCTGCAGCCCTACATTGCAGCAAAGACTTGCCAGAGTGATCTGTTGTGAGTTTAGAGCATAGGTATAATGTCCTGGGGGCCTGAGGGGGTCCCAATTTGTATACCCCCTCAAATAACTCCTTAAATAATATCTTTTGATCGTAATTATTTGGCAATAAAACATGGCATAAGTATTTTACCAATATAATAGATGCTACTGAAAACACATTTAACAGTATCACTAAAACAATAAATTATTAATATATTAAATATTCATTAAGAGATTTTGGCTAAACAACTTGAGCCAAGAGCGAGAAACAAGAGCTTAACGGTTCACACTGGAGTTCCCCCTCAATCACGTCACATTAAACTAAAGAACTGCTATGGCAGGTGCTATGTCATGCCTTTTGATGTGTTTAGCACCTGCTAATGTAGGTGTGGGTGAAAAAAATAGCATGTCATGATACTTACAGACACACTTTTAATTTCTACCCGATTTTCTCCCGAATTTAGTCGTCTCCAATTCCGCTAGTTAGGACTCCCCCAATCACACGATGCTATCAACGCTAGGAGGGTGAAGGCTAAAACAGGCTTCCTCCGAGACCTGTGAAGCCGCCAGATCTGTTACGTCAGCTAACAGACGCCTGCGCTGACTAGCATCGCGCTGAGTGATGGGGGGAGAAGGAGGGGCCATCCTACCCACCCAGAGAGAGCGAGGCCAATTGTGCTCTCTCGGACTCCCGGCTACGGATGGCTGTAGCATCACCAGGGATCGAACTCGCAATCTCCTGATGATAGGGCCAACGCTTAGACGGTTGCGCCACTCGGGAGCTACAGATTTTTTAAGGATACACGATATGTGTCATGATGTTTTGACACAGACAAAATACACTAAATACAGTTCACATTTAAAAGCGACTCAAAAACTATGAACACGGTGATTATTATTCAGCATATTACATACTGTGCTGCACTAAATTCAACTTAACAGGACTGATTATGCTCTCTTTGTAATGAAGCATGCGGTTGGTCAGTGTTCTTATAGTTCTCATGGTATACTTAGAAATGCTCAATGTGTGTCATGATAACGAAAATGATCACGCCAACAATAAAATATTGTTAAATCGCCCAAATTGCCTTCAAAATATTGTCAAATCACCTATAAAAAGATGTTTAATGTAAAGGTTCATTGGCTCTGTACCTGTACGTTTTACAATGACAAAGTTGAATCTAATCTAATCTAATCTAATCTAAAGTGATTGCACCACATGATATTGTGAAATATTTTGAATATCAGTGCATATCACTCAGTCTGAGGCTGAGACAAACGTTAGTTAACGTTACATCAGCATTATCTGTGGCTGTAATAGTACAACCAAAGTACAGTTAGCAGCGCTAATACTAACAAACCCAGAGACATAACAAACACTGCTTAGAAACACATTGTATTTTTCGTTAATCATGCTAGACAGTATTATTATATATCTGCGTATTCTAAAAGTGTTTAATATGCCTTTTTGTTCCCGTGGCTGCATGCTCCCGGACCCCCAAAAGAAGGTCTTATTCAACCCCTCTACTGCTCAACCTCAAGTTATGCCCGCTACGTTTTCGTTTAAACTAAACTCAGTGTTACAGGATTTTTCATGACGGTGATTTCTTACAGCCTAGACTTGGTCATAGGTGCTTGTATAGTTGGGTTTGTTTCCTTTGTGTGGATGTGTGATGGGCGTGTTTCTGTGTCTGCAGGGTGTTTGTGAGGAGCTGATGTATGAGGAGATCCAGCAGCGGTATCCTCTGGAGTTTGCACTGCGGGATCAGGACAAGTACCGCTACCGCTATCCTAAAGGAGAGGTGAGCACCTCAAAGACTAATGTGCCTCTACATGAGAATCGCTTTTCAGTACATACTCACTTGTTTACTAGGCTCCAGTTGAGCCACAGGCTCCATGTAGTCCAAAACAGGCAAATGTCATCTCACTAAAATCTTTCTTTCTATCCTCTTAAGTTGTCATTATATAATATATATGTCATATATATATATAATATAAATGTCATTATAACACGTAAGTCGGAAGTTTCCATTAGTGGTATCAAGGGGTGTGGTGGGGTTTGGCTTAGCCAGGTCAAACGAAATGAAACAGCACACTGTCTGAGCATGTTTCCAGAGCACACAGAAAGAAAGGAGCTGTAAATCCAGACTGTAGGCCGAGGATCCTCGATCGATATCCGCTCACCTTTCAGCTGCTTAAACCAGAGAAAATCAACATTTGCTCTTTGTCAGAAGTGAACTGTTCTTCTTATTTGGTAGTTTTCTTATATGGTTTGTTTTTGTTACAGGTTTAATAAATTGTGTATTTGCAGCCTATAAATCCCTTCTTAGCAAAATAATAAAACGTCTAAAGCTTAACCAAAGAAGTAGTTTATGGGCTACTCTTACTGTAGCTATGCATCGTCTTTTTTTTTGTTTTGTTTTTAATAAGTCATGTAATCAATACTATGGCCAAAATTAACATATGGCTGGAGGCTTATCTTTTGGGATATAGATTTGATTTAAATTGATTTTTGGGATATAGATTTGATTTTTAAAAAAAAATCAGTAACAAAAATCACAAAAAATTATCAGCAAGCAGAGAAATGCATTTGAAAACATAGCATTATTCAAAAAAATGCAGAGAGAAATCTGTAGTTTTTTTATTTAATAAAACTGGCTGCCTGTTCGGAGGAGCTAAACTACAGCTCAGTGGTTCCACACTGGATACTGATGAAGATTTGTCTTAAATGAGGTCTTTTCTCTTCAGTGGACGATGTGTCAACATTTTAGTTTGTCAGAAAAATATATTTCTACTGTTTCTGGACCTAAATGACATCTGCTAGAGTAGTTAGCCTAGTTAGCCTTAAAGCCGTGCTATCTCTGCTTTCAGTCGCGTCCTTAAAGGGGAATTCCACTGATTTTTCAAGGCTCGTATAATTTGGCCTTTAAAATGTAAATAAAGCCATCCAGAGTGTTTTGCTGTCACATGGTTAATTGAAGAGAAACCTGTGGTGATGGGAACCAGGGGGTCTTTGGAAACTATTTTGCCTCACAACACCCTGCAGGTATCCCTCTGCCCTGAATAGATCCTAAAAATACACACATTCACTTAAAACTATTGTAAAACAACGTCTCAGACATGGCAGCAAATTCGTAACCTTTCTCATGTAAAAACCTTTTTTTGAGAGAGCTTGCAGATACATTAAATGCTTTGGATGTCTGGTTCCTATCACCACCACTGAGAAGAGTTCTGACTCAGTGAGTTTCACTAGAACAGAGTATTTCACATCAAACCACTCTGAATGACTTTGTTTACTTAAAGACTTATTTATGCAGAAGTTCTTTAAAAAAATTTATTTCAGTATTTGTAAACTGGCATCTCGAGGGATTAACTGAGTACTGAAATATGGGGCCCCTAGGATGCGATGTCTGCAGTTGCTGTTTAAATGCGATCTATGAGGTCATCAAGTTGCCTTTGACGTACACAGTGTCCACAGTTCTGTCCTGCCTGTCATTCAAGCCTGAGTAATCTGCTCACTCGTCCTTCCTCCATTCCACTTATGAGGCTCCTGGCAGTCTGAGAGCATGGCGCTTAGCCTGCTGTCACAATGCTAATGGCTAGCCAGGTGGCTAATGGCTAGTCTGCTAATGATTACACACAGGTTAATCCTCCTATGAGACAAGAGGGCTGTGATAAAGATGGGCCGTGATAAACAGACCTGTTAGGCTTTCCTGTAGGCTGCGATTATGTTGTTTTTATGGAGCCTAATGCTGTGAGTGAGAGAGTGGAGCAGGGTAAGAGAGGGTGAGTGAGGGCGAGCTAAAGCAGCTCACAGACCATTACCTCCAACCCAAACATGCTTTCTCTCTCCCGTTTAGATCACTCATCTGGAACGTACTTGCGTGACTTATTTGGCAAGTTTTTATTGTTTGTTACTCGCTGAAAGATGAACAATGTCCTGTCACCCTGACAACAACGTTAGATGATAAATACATAAGCATTGGGTACATTTTTATTATGGATGCACCGGTAAATGGGAAGTTTGGGTCAATATCCATTCCCAGATAGCAAGCATACATCAGTTCACTGGCTTGATAAGGTCGGCACCCCACTGACTGCCACAGCTGGTCCACCCTCCGACCACCCTGAGTATTGTCCTGCATACAAGCTCTAACTAGTTTTTAATCTCTTCAAATAGATTTTAAATGCTCTTAGCCTTTTATTGTGGAAAATAAACTTACACAAATATTACAAACAACTGAGAGAAAAAAATAATGACCAGGCCTAATATAAAATGATTTAGTTGAAAATGTTGGTGCTGACACTGAGCTAGATTAAAATTATTAACTAAACTAATTTACAAGGTATAACTAAAGAAAGGAAGGATGGAAAAAGAAGTAAATAGGACTGTGAGAGGAAAATGAGTGATGTTAATGGAATCTTTTCTATTACTCTGCTTAACCACCGGTGGGCCGCCCAGAAAACACCAACCAAACCATCAGTGGACGCCAGCTTTGCCATCAAGCAGGCCAACAGCGGTCCACTATCCTCTTGCTATCAGGGTACAGTCGTATGCATAAGTTTGAGTACCACTGGTCAAAAGACATGTTAACTTGTGAACACAAATATGGCATTTTTTTCTGCTAATTTTATTGCTGAATTTCAGTTTTATTTACTGAGTTTAACATACTGAAAAAATATAAAACATAAAATGTACAATGTGCCATAACTTTTGCACAGGACATTTTTATGTTTTTTATTTTTTTCCCAATATGTTAAATTTAGCAAATAAATGGTAATTGTGTAATAGAATGTGCAGAAGTGTGTTCTCTGTAGAGAATGTGTTAACGTATTACTTAGAAAATCAACATAAAGTTTGCAAAACTTTGCATGCGACTGTACATAAATTTACATACTTCCATTATTGAATAGTTAACTACATAATTAATTACATTATATTCAGTTTATGTTCTGTATCGACAGGTTTGACTCTGCATTTTGTACTTTTGTCTGCTCAGTCCTATGAAGACCTGGTGCAGCGGCTGGAACCGGTCATTATGGAGCTGGAGCGGCAGGAGAACGTTCTGGTCATCTGCCACCAGGCCGTCATGCGCTGCCTACTCGCTTACTTCCTGGACAAGACGGCAGGTAAGAGCCGCTTCAGCTCTGCTAATAAAAAAATGGACAACACTGGTTATTTAGGTGTCATTCAGCTGCGCTGGTTTTTTACTTTTTACTCAATTCAGAAAAAAGGAAATAATAGAAAATTTGTTTTTTGGATTTTAGGCATTCTGGGAAATGTAGTCTTACAAGACTAGAGATATTATTGCGCTGCTGTCAGAACAAAATGCCTGTTTCCCTTCACATTGTGTGTAAATTTCATGATGAATGGAGCAAAAGAAACGGCCCAAAATGACGTGTTAAAACGATTGGTTCCATTGACTGACATTAAAAGTAAAGTAGGATTTTTCTTTCTCCTGTAAAGTTACCATTTTGGAGATACAAGGTTTTGTTCTGAGAGCAGCGATTGTTTTCCTAGGAAAATAACCATGTAAACATGATTACATATTGAGGTGTAGAATGTGCATTTTTTACAGAATTTGTCTGCTTGTTTGAATAACAAATTTACAGTTACATCATGTAATTATCGCTAACAATAACTGTGACTTCTAATGGTTAATACTGGTTAATAATGGTTAATATTAGATTGCAGTATTATAGTTTAATACCCTGCACTGCACTTTATTGTATGTTCTATTGTTTTTCACTAGTAGATTTTATATGAATGAACCTGATTATATTAATCAAGTCAATGTATCTTCCACAGAGGAGCTGCCTTACTTGAAGTGTCCCTTGCACACAGTGTTGAAGCTGACGCCGGTGGCCTACGGTAACGATATGCCTTTTTTTTTACCCCCCTAGTCATTTAAACTAGGTGTGTGCACAGATACTTCAGTACTCAGTTAACTATACAAGATGCCAGTATTCTAATACTGAAATCACTATGTGGGTATTTATGTTCAATCACCGGAAGATGGAGAAAATATGCATGATAATAATTCAGTGTAGCTAGTTTTTAATTTGAACAGGACTGTTAAAAATGGCGAGTTAGCTCATATTTGAGTATTACTTTTTGCTACTATGAGACACGAGAGCCTTAATGTGAGCACACTGCCAAAGACGTGACTGAGAAGGCTCTGGCACGGCGTTATCACTAACAGGCTAACTACTCTAGCTGGTCTGGAAACAAAGAAAATATATTTCTCTAATAAAGTCACTTGTTGTCCACTGAGGAGAGAAGGCCTTGTATAGAAGATGACGAGTCCTCGTACCTCATCAGCATCCAGTTAGTTCTGTTAGCTCATCTGATGAAAACGTACCGATTTCCCTCGGCAATCTTTGAATAATAAAACGTTTTAAACATAATCATTTGTGTGGTGCTGTATTTACTGCAAAAACTGGCATCTTGCCAAGTAAAATTATCTTAAAAATAGTCAATAAATCTCATTTCTCCTGTTGAGATTGTTGTAAGCTTAATTTACGATTAATTACCTTATTGCTAGATATTTGTTTTAAGTAATTTTATGAAGTAAAATTATCTCACTATATTGGCAGATAATTGTTCTTGTTTTAAGAAATGTGCTTGAAACCATCAAAATGATCTGCCAGTATAGTGAGAGAATTGTACTAAAATTACTTAAAACAATTAAATAATGTCCATAAATATGCTATGTAATATAATAAGTGCACAACCATCTCAAAATGGGAAATATTAGATATATTGACTAGATTTAAGATCATTTTACTTGACAAGACCATTTTTTGCAGTGTTTTTGTGCTGTCACCTAAACAGGAAAGCTCAGAAACCCTACATTAAATGAATAGTTTGATAGTACATGATTTTCCACTTATCCTAAAGGTGGTTGATCAGCCAAGATGTGTTTGGTGTCTGTATTTTGCTTGTTTGGTTTAGAATGGGAGCAACCCAAAACAGTTCCACAAATACGTGCCAAAACTTCTCTCAACCCGCTCAAACCACATCTGGGTCTTAATTCAGGTCGCACAGACAAGTTTAGAACACAGGTTTTTTTTTTTTTTGGCCAGTGTTTTTTCACTTCCTCTGTATGGACAGTTGTACAATAACTGCTGAATTAGGGAAACATATGGAGGCAGCGAAAAGACAATTAGATGATTAAATGACAGCTTTTCTTTCTTGCAGGCTGCAAAGTGGAGAGCATCTTCCTCAAAGTGGAAGCAGTGAACACCCACAGAGGAAGACCAGAGGTAAGAGACACACACACTCGCACAGAGGTCAGAGGCAGATGCCTGTTACACGAGCCGAGCCAGATGCAGCCCAACAAGTGGGGGTTGGGCTCTGGTTTGTTTTCTAATGAGTGATTTTTTTGTGTTGTAGACTTGTTTTTATTTGAAGTATTGTGCTTATGTAATTTCACGCACTCAGAGTCGTGGGTATGGGTCGGTTTTGGGCTTTGAGCAGACAGAAGAAAGGAACTGTATATAAATATATGTTCAGTAATATTTTGTTCTTTTTGCTTTAACCATAGCTTGTTTTCTGTTTTATTATAAAAAAAACATTTGTGGGGGAAAAACTAACGCCCAATCCCATTTCACCCCTCGTCCCCACCACTTAGCCCGACCCCTCCGTTTTGCGTGTTCACGCCCATGGGTAGGGGTGTCCCAACTGTTGTTGGGATAGAGGGGTAGGGTGAAGTGTTAGGGCTTCAAGGCCCTCCAAAGGGAGGTTTTTCAGAGACACACTCCAAACGAGTGTTATGAGAAACCAACACACAAATCAATAACATAAAAACATTATATGTGTATCACAAATGATCATCAAATGTTAACAGACTTAACGTTAAATAGACTTGTTTGCAGTCTATCCTACATACCACAAATCGATCCACCAGCGTTCCCAGGTGTTGAAGGCGTCTTCGTTTTATGACATTTCTCCCATTTGCTACAGACAACCACAAAAGGATGCCTGTTGGAAATGTCTGGAAAAAAACAAGTCTGTTTATGTAAAAGCCACCAATGACTACTGATGACATGTTGGGTTCTTGAAGGGTTGTCCCATTTCGTAGGGGAAGATTTCAACCACTAACCCTTGTAACTTACTACCAAGGGCCAAAGTGACACTTGAAAACAAGGGGTAGGGGTATAAATAAGAAATGAGATTGGGCCTAGGTAGAAGTAACTTGATCCTTCAACCAAAAGGTGCAATGAAACACATTTTTACGTTCTTTCCTTTAGTATTTATGTATATTATCGCTGTCGGAACAAAACCGTGTATCGCCAAAATGGTACAGGAGAAACTTTTATTGTTAAAGTAACAAGTAATGCAAGAAGAAAACACATTTCTGTTAGTCTCTTTGTCATATGATGATGTCACGCTGTAAACGTCAGCTGTTTTCAAATTGTCAAAAGATAAAAAAATGGCAAAAATGAAGATACATGGTTTGTTTGGACAGCCGTGCATAAAGCTCTCCGGACAAAAAAGTCACATATCATTTCTTCTCTGATGCTTGGTTAAACCAATGACAGCGTCAGTCCTGTCAAAGACTCTCTTGAGAGTTCTTGTCCATTTTAGTCCACTGTTCCACTAACTTTGTGCTTTGTGTCTGAGCAGAACACAGATTGGTTAGAGAGCTGATCAGCTCATTGGCTGAGTGAAGCAGTCTGTGCTTAGGGATGTCATAACTGTTCAAAAAGCAAAGTTCTATAACTTGAGTTCAGAAGAGCAAAAACATAATAACAGTGTTGAATATTTTATGCTGTTCTGTGTTCAGATTACTGCATTTCCTATGTTAAATGATTAAGCATTTACAAGCTATGCTTTTCCAGAAAAGCTCTATTTGAGCCCATTCATTTTGAACCCACTCAGTATCACCCTCTAGTGCCTGACAAACATTATTACAGAGTAGTAAGTGTCTTCAATAGAAATTCTTTGGCTTTCGTGGCAGGCAGTGTGCACTCAGTGTAATCCTTAGAAAAGAAGTGATGCGTGCCAATAATGTTTTGTCTGGGAAGCTTATGTTCTACTCTAAAAACAAATACAATTTCATGTTGCATATAAAGCAAAGGGAAAAGATACTTGCTGCAGAAAAAGTGTCCGTTTAATAATGTATAGGGTGTCGTTTTAGGATGCAGCAGACACTGAATCATTTAGCGGAATCGTTTTCTGTAGTGAACTTATTTTATTTCTCTTTGCCATGTTTTCATTTTATTTGTCACATTAAAAAAACTAACTAGAGGTGTGACACACACAGACTCTGAGACCCTGCATTACTGCAAAGGATGAAGCGCTTCTAAGACCTTCACAGTCCCATTTCTGTTCTCTTAACCGGTACCGTTATTCTCAAATGGTGTTTGATTTGGGTGCTAATAGCATAAACAGCAGAAGCAGTAGTCTTATTTGTAACTGTCCCTGTGCACAACATGCTAACTGTAATTGAGACATTGTACGTTGCTTCTGTCTTCACAGCAGCCGATTTGTTTTCCCATGAAGTCACTGTTTACAGCCACAAAAAGTTTCACTCAGCATGTCTTGTATGTCATCAGCCATTTTTACACTGAACGCCTCAAACAGGAAACGCTGACATAGCACCTGGTCCGGCCCAGCTGTACAGTAGTGGTCCTCAATCGTGGTCCTGGAGTATCTCCACCATTCAAATGTTGTTGTTTTTACTGCTTTAACACACCTGATCCAACTAAGATCATCTAATTTACAAGCCCTTACTGAGCTGAATCAGACTAGGGATGGGTGATATGGCAAAAATATCACAATATAGAATTTACAGTACACTATCACAGTATTTAGCTTTTCTTAAGTTGGGATGCACAGACACAATGCATGAGCAAACCAGCAGAAAAAAAGCTGCAGAACTACAGTACTGTGTTTTGTGTGTTTATTCACTGTAATAAGGAACAGGAGGAAAGGTTTAAAAATTGAACACTAAATTAGAGTTTTCGATAAGCAAAATAGCTTCTTTTTAACACTACATTCTCATATTTAAGAACCATGATACATCGATAGTCCACTAGAGGGCACTGTAGGGCCTGCGCTTTGGTCAGATGTTCCAGTCTGCTTAGTCTAAAGAAGGAAAGAGTACTGCGACCATCTAAAGCAGAGGTCAGCAAGTCAAATGTTAAGAAGAGCCATTTTGTCTTTCCAACAAAAATCAAACCACCTTGGGAGCCACAACATTTTATGTCCATTTTACCGTCTTGGCTGTAAATATGTCTCAGTACGTGCTAATGTCCTAGTACTGGCTAAAAATGTAATATAAACAAAAACGCAGACTTACTTTAAGCTTTAGCTCAGCTGTAGCCGCTTTTCTCGCATCTCTGGCAGGAAACCTTTCCGCAAAAGTAGAATAGTTTCTTGTAAAATGTCTCTCAACGTTCAGTTTTTATGAGGCTGAAGTCGCTTCTCATTCGCCAGCTTCTTGTTTGAATTTTCCTGTTCCACCTTAAATGGTGCCTGAGGCGGCAGAATGTACTGCTGCACTATTTAAGGTAGAACAGGAAAATCTGAACAAGGAGCTGGCGAACGAGAAACTGACTTGAGCTGTGTGACCTTTTTTTAGTGTTTGTCAGTTTCTCGCTGCAGATTAAACGTATCAGGAAACCAGCTGAGTGATTATAAACGCAAATAAGTCCATTCATCTCCAAATTCTCAGTGTTCAGCTTAAATCTCTCTCTTTGCCATTTCATTAGCTACTCGCTAGGTGAGACTGTTGTCTGTGTTGCTATGGTGACCAGCAATCTGTGCGCCAAACTTCAAGGTTAAAGGCTGAATTAGCAGTTCTACATTAACTCCAGAGTTTAAGACCATTTATTGTTAAACTGTGTTGAACGATCAGCAGAGCTTTATTTTACTGTAAAGGAGGATTATTTTATTTTTACCTACAAATCTAATTCTGCTGTGGAGCCGCAACAGGGCAGTAAAAGAGCCGAAGCCACATGTTGCCGACCCCTGATGTAAAGGCTACCGCAACACGATACTGATAGTACAAAGTGCAGCTATAGCACACAGGTGGCAATAAACATCAAGCTCAATTTACTCTCTACTTGTGTGTATATTTTTGTGTGTATGTATGTGTGTGTATATATGTGTGTGTGTGTGTCTGTGTGTGTATATCTATCTATCTATATCTATATTTATCTATACATATATATTATGTATGTATGTATGTGTGTGTCCATAGGCCCTGCAATTGTACAGGGATATGTTCATGAATGTGACCTTGTTTCAGTGTATATTTGTAAGACCCAGTTGATTCACCTGGTCGCCCGTGTGACTCCACCCCCATATTTACCTGCTGTGTGATGTCATCTCTGTGTTTGTGTCGAACAGAACGTAGATGTGACGCGGCTGCCGGAGGAGGCCTTGCTAACAGTGCCAGCTCATCAGTGAAAGACAAACACGCACAGATGCACTCATTTACACTCGTTTTCACTCCATCCATCTTCCACTCACTGGGACAATCCACCAGCATCAGTGGCTTGTCCTCCAGACTGTTGAATCAGAGCAGTAATTACTCTGTCTGTGCTCTGACATGTGTTGTTATTAACTTGAAACCAAGCAGTTTGTGCCTGATGTCTGTGGTCAGGCTCTATTTTTTTATCTTAAGAAGCTTTTACCAGCTATTATCAATGAAGCAGCCAGACATCACATCTGTTAAATCTTAATAATTTAGCTGGATAACAGTATTTTATATTAACACAGAGATTTTTAATCATTGATTAAGTTTACATTAAAGGAGAATTCCACAGAAAAAAAAAAATCTGCAAAATTTGCAATGGTTGAGATGAGAACAGTCATTCAGAGTGGTTTCATATGGTTCTTTGTAGAGTAACTTAAATTCTGATTGCTCTACAGTGGTGGTGGAACCTGGTTTTGCAGTGTTGGCAACACAAATATAGCCATTTTATTTACTATCCATAATGACCAGTGAACCCACACACTATTGATGATGGTAAAATTGTGGTAAATATGGAAAATATTTTTTCTCTGGGGATTATTTTGCCTCACAACACCCCCTTCACCATGAATGGGTTTAAAATTGATGTAGTTTAGGCCACAACTTAAACTCTTAAAAAAAAGCAGTGTCTCAGATATCAAGCAGTTCATTCATAGTAATTTCATAGCCATTTCATATAATAACTTTGTGACGTAATTTCAGACGTCTGGTTCCTATCACCACCACTGTAAACAGTTCTTACTCAGTACGTTTTTTCTAGAACGGAGCATTTCACATCCAATCAGTCTGAATGACTGTGTGTACATCTTAACCATTTAATTATATAGAGATTTTGAAAACATGGTGGAGTTCTCCTTTAAGCTACACTACATGCTGTATTGCAGAATGTGGCCATTTTTGTACCACAATAATTAAGCAGCTGCTAAGAATGAAAACTAATGCTATGACTACATTGATTCGTACTGCTGTAACGAACAAATTAAAATGAGCCCTTATAAGCTAAACCCATGTAGACAGCCAAGTCCAGAAGATTTGCTGCTTCTGCATCTTGACTTTGACAGTCCTTTGATTTTTTTTAATATTTTGTCACTTTTAATTTATATGGATTTAAATCTAAACTAAAAAATCTGTTCTTATGATTAAGAGAGCTTTAGCTTTGCTATGAAACAGAAGGTATAGTTGCTAACACAGAGCTAACTTGCTCAGAAAGAAATAAAACATGCTGTGAATTTTAAAGTATGTGAAGTTCTCCTTCCTTTTATAGGGAGGTGATTTTATATCCTGATGTCTCAATGGAAATGCTAATAAAATATGTTCAATAGAACCCGGAGACCGTTTGTATTCATATATACTCAACAGGTGAAGTTCAGCACAGGAATTTCCATATAAAACAAGCAGAAATATATTTCCTCAGAAATACTTTCAGATAGTCAACATACAGCACATACATGAGGGTTTTGCTCTGTTGCCACACTGCAGAGCAAAGAATTCAAAGCAGTGAGGTTGTTGGAATGAACTTGTAATAGTTTGGCCATAAATCTGATTTACATTTTTCCCCCTTGCCCCAAATGTTTTCAGCCAGCCAAGACATGTTTGATATCCTAACTTTGCTTCTTTAGTTTTGCACTGGAGCTACGAGGCTAATGCTAAAAAGCTAAGCTAATGCTAAAAAGCTACAGCTTATAAATGCTAATTAGCAACAGTTGCAGATACAAATAAGTCATTTCCGTAGTCTTGCTTATGTGGTTTCTGACCGTGGATGACATGTTGTTATCTGCAGAAATGGACAGATGTATGTGGCATAGCTAAAAACTGTAATGGTGCCATCTTAAAGCTTCAATTCTGTCCCTTCATTTGTCCATTTTTATAGCCAACCGTATGTCTTAGTGCCCTAAATCACATAAGTATTCAAGATTACTTTACAGCTTAACATAGTTTGAGGTAAGTGATGATTTAGGCATACAGTTAGCAGAAGGCTAACCGGTAGCTGTGTCCCCATTACTTGTTAGCTACATTAGCCTTGTAGCTCCAGTCTCTAACTAAAGCAAATTTGAGTCCTCAGACTTGCCTTGGCTAATTTGACTTATTGCTTTAAGGCAGCACTTTGGCAGCTTTGTAGGACAAACCTCACAGTGCCAGATGTGCAGGAAAAGTACATAAACATAAAATTACATAAGACTCCAGCCTGGATCTGAAAACTTTAGCTTTATATTGCAGAAAGGCCACAATAAAGAGGCGGCTGATCCTGTAGAGCTGGTTTAACCAACATGTATAGCCCAGTCAGCAATGTTACATGACTAAAAGTGCCAGGTGTCTATAAGATGTGTGGGTGGGTGTACAAGCGCCCCCCCGGGGCTAAATATTACTCCTGGGTTGCTCAACAGAATCAAGCTAGAACTGTATGTACAAACACATGTATAGCATCTAAGGCTATATAGAGGGTCAGTAGCAGTACTTTAGACCCTTGTCATGCCTGGCTTCAGTCCAGCTCATTACACCATAGCTTTGTTACTGATCAAACATGGATGTATTTATATACCCTTAGTTTATTTATAAACCTTTTATAATAACAGTTAGGGATGTATCAGGGGTGGTGACGGGGACTAGCACCACCTATTGCAGCCTAGTGCCCTTCAGTTTATAAAATATTAACCTTGTAGAACATGATTTCAACATGTCAAGAATAATAAGCATATGATGATGTGGCAGCAGAGACGAGGGTTAGTGCTACTTAGTGCCCTTTTGATATTTTGACAGCAGATGGGCAGGATGGGCCAGCACCTAGCTCCCTAGTGCCACCTAGAGACCTCAGTTTTTTTGGCCAAAATATTGACTGCATGATTTAAAAATCCACAAAAGCTTGGTCCATATTAATTTCTATATTACTGACAGTATATTCTTCTTATTTTTCTGACAGATATTTTGACAGATTTCGAGATATCGACACCAATCCAACGCTAGAACGTGTTCTTGTATACAGCTTTTTGATAAGCTGTACGGTTTTCGTACATTCTTCGTTAAATGACAAATTTTCCCCATAGGAATGAATGGGGAGCAAAAGTTTGTGCACCCAGCTTATATCACGATGACACAAGTCCATTAGCAACACACTGTTAAACATAAGGGGTACCATGGCATTGACTTAGCAACACCCTAGCATCCAGCTAACAACCAACTGGGATACCCTAACAGCTGGTTATCAACACCTTAGCAAATCACATAAAATACCATGGTATGCATTTGGCAGCCCCCTAGCAACAGCTTGACAACTGTCTACGCTGCGCAATCAGGAAGTGCACTTTTCCAGTTTTCCCATAAAGACTTCCTCCCGTCGCATTTGTGTATTTTTTTTAAATTGTGAATCGTACCAAAATAAGTCGAATTGTGGTGTAATTTGAGATTACTGAATCGTTCCCTAAAGAACTGAATCGAATCAAATCACTGAATTGTTTTAAGAGACTACAGTGATTTACGCTCGTAGTAATTATCCACTGATGTTGGCTTCACCGGGGGTGAAGGGGTTTCACCTGTAGAGTAACCAGAAGGTTTTGGACATACTGATGATTATTTGCGTGCGTTTTGTGTTCTCTTTTCAGAATGTTAATGTGCACCGGACTGCGGAGGACGCCTTGCAGACCGTTCCGCCTCACCTCTGACCCTGTCGTTTGGCCGCCCACTCTCACTGATCTCACTGCCTGTGCTCCGGGGATCCCCTGACCTCCTGGCACCTCACAAACAAATGACTTTTGGGGTCCCCTGCCTGAATACCCATCCTTTCCCTCAACTCAACTCCCTCATCAGTGGCCAGACTGCACTGCACTGTTCATTTTAGCCTCCTGGACTCATAGATAGGACGTATTGGTCTTTATGCTGAGTTGCCAATTTACACCTACTTTGTATATACACTCATTGGCCAGTTTATCAGAAACACCTGCCATATAGGTCCACTTTGTAGGTCTACTGTTACAGACTGTGGTCCTTCATTTGCTGTCCAGTATTAGCTCCCCTGTACCACATCGATCAATGAAAAGGGACCACCATAGGACCACCACTGGCCAGTTGGAGCAACAGATGGGCTCCAGTCTTTTATACCTATAATGTACCTATGCGGTAGGTGTTTCTGATATAATGGGCCATAAAAATGACAAGAACTGATCCTACAGCAGCATTAATGCAAAAAGGAGTGGATAATGTACGCTGATCTTTGGGATACGATCAGTCCAGAATCATATCCCTTCTTACGTGACCAGTACTTTTACACTACACATATCGATACGCACATTTCCAGAGTGGAAGAGCTATGAGAAATAAGACAGACACTGCTCACAAACACCATGTGATTCACCACTCTATATTCTGGAGATGGTCCATCAGAAGTTCATTCAAAGGGCAATTCCACCTACTTAAAATGTCTGCATAATTCTATCATTGAGATGTAAACAAAGTCCTTCAGAGTGGTTTGACGGTTCTTTACAGTGGTGGTGATGATAGGATCCAGGGGTCACATTGTCTACAACACAAATATAGCCATTTAATTTACTATCCAAAATGACCAGCGAATCTACACGTCATTTTGAGTTTTCATTTGCAGCTGAGGTTGGTAAACTAGTGGTACATTAAAAAAAATTAGTTTTTTTTAGGGGCTGTTCAGCCTTAGAATGCTGTGTATGTACCTTTCCACCATTAATATATTTTAGAAAAGATTTTTAGGCCAATGTTGCATAACTATTGTTGTCATTAGGTAATGTTTTCATAACTATTTTGTATAGTAACCGTCTGTGTATAGCAAATGTTTCAGACGTCTGATTCTTATCACCACCACTGTGAACAATTCTGACTCTTAAGTTTCTCTAGAATGGAGCGTTTAACACCAAACCACTCTGAATGATATTGTGTACATCTTAAAGAGTTAATTCTGCAGAATCTTTGAAAAATCAATGGAACTGCCTTTTAATCTGCTTTGAAAGAACCTCAGTTTTTATATCTTTGGGATTTGGAAAGTGTAGCAGAGCTGGGATACATGAGATGTAATATATTGAGAATGTAATGTATGAGGGCTGTGCCGGCGGGGATATATTGATTATATATTCAGTATATATTGGGTCTGCAGATTTCCTGTGTGTCTTTTGCATTGCTTTCTGTGTCAGTATTGTGCTTATCGTTGTGTCATATTATTGTTTGATTCTTATCTCTCTGTTACTTTGAGGGAAGCATGGCACAACAGCTTTATGTCTGTGTACCAAAGAAATCCTCAGTTTATCACTGGTGTTAATACAGTTGGCATGACTCTATTGCCCTCATACAAAGATATATGTATTTATTTGCCTTTCACATGTTTAAAAATCAATACACATTTTTGTTCGTGTTGCTGCTTGGCACCTAAATGCAACTATTTTGATTATTTATTATTGTAATGAATTACTTTAAATCACGCTCACATTATTTTTTACTACTTTCAGATATACAATTGTGAATTGTATCCTGAATTGTAAATGCCCAGAAAGTGAATTAACTGTATGTGTGTATAAGATGGATAAAAGTGATTTAAAGTGCTGATATATAATCGTACACTGGTTCTTAAAGTAACACATTTTGGAACAATATGATCGTCCCTGTATGTCTTACTGACAATAAACTGTATTTTAGAAATCATACTGTCTGTGAATGTTTTGCATACAGAAGATTACACCTAAAAAGGGAAATTCCACCAATTTTTCAAAAGTTCTGTACAATTCGAAGTCACTAGCTACATTTCCAACGACTTTGTAAGCAGACTGTAAGCAATAAAATGAAAATGCATTCAAGAATGTTTGCGATTTTCACTTCCCACCAGCTGGTTTACATCAATCTGATGTTTTTTATTGATTAAAATGATTTACCTAATGATATCATTTCCTGCAAAAACTTGTTTTGGGCTGAATCTCAAAAGGCTGCCTACTCCCTATGTAGTGTAATTATAAAATAATGAATGGCTTCAACAGCTAAGTCAAGCTTTATATGTTGATAAGAAGGCCATGTATATTCGGCCATAATTTCATGACCAGTTCAGTGCACTTTATAAGGACTAGGGAGCCATGTGAGATGCAGCCATAGTGAATCTATAAATAAGCTGTATTTGGGTTTTTCCATTTCTAATTTAATAGTAGGTTATGACTTCCCCATAAGCTCCTGATAAGGAAGTTTTAATTTATTATTATATTTCCTCCGTCTCAACCGTTATGCAAGAGATCATGTTTCTCTGCTATGTAGAATAGTTTGAGCACTTTCCATTTGGAAATGCTGTAGTCTTTTCTGGACATCTCTCTCTGTAAGAACTGAAAAGGGTCAGCATTTCTTTAAAAAAACACTTTCATCTGCTCCTCAGTGCAGCTCTACCTCTCTGCCATGCTGTATGTGTTTGTTGTTAGAGGAAAACGTCTCGACTGCAGGTTTCGCAACAATTTATCTGCTTAAGTTAAATGGAAGAGTTTTTAGACTTTTGTCAACACTCATAAAATACTACTGCCAATTTCCCCTTTCCATAACCTACATCGACAAACGTTTCGAAGCGTTAAAACATTTTTCGTAAAAAACATTCGGATGGAAAGCTAATCAGAGTGGTTTGGTGCGAAATGCTCTGTTCTAGAAAAATTTACAGAGTCAGAACTGTTCACAGTGGTGGTGATAGGAACCAGACGTCCACCTCTAACAGCTCCCTCAAAGAACGTTATTACATGAAATGGTTATGAATATGCTGCCTGATGTCTGAGACATTGTTTTACGATAGTTTTGAGATAAAGTACAGGGCCTCTATGGTGACATGGTGATTGTTTTTTAATAAGCCGTGGCCACAAATTAACATATTGAGGCCAGGATTTAAGTTTTTTGCAGTTACGAATGAATATGTTGAGGCCACGTGGCCAGAAGAAACTTAACTCGTGGTCTCAGTATATTAATTTGTGGGTAATCTCCATGTCACCTCAGGGCCTCTGTATAAAGCAAAATAGTTCTGAAAGAAAGCAAAAATATTTTTCTGATTTACCAGTATTTTAAATCACTAACATTACGTATAAAAACGTGTAGGTTCACTGCTGGTTTTGGACAATAAATAAAACGGCTATATTTGTGTTGTAGACTTGGCGACCCCTGGTTCCTGTCACCACCACTGTAAAGAAATCTGAGTCTGCAAGTTTCTCTACAACTAACCATTTCACATCAAACACTCTGAATGAATCTGTTTACTTTGTTTATCTCTTTCAGATCATTTTAAGTTGGTGAATCTCTGAAAACTACCAGATTATTAACTGTGTCAGCTTATTTTGGCAAAAATGTCACAGTACAGTACATTCATTTTCATTGTTTTATTTGTAGAGATTTAACATCTATTATAGATGCTTATTAAAATAACTATATAATTGCTGAGTCTTTTAAAATGAGTAACTGAAGCAATTACAGATTTGTTATTAAATGCATGGAGTCAAACAAATTCTGACAAAAATAAAGATGGAAAATCAGCCGTTCGCAAGGATCAATTAGAACAGCTGCACCATAATAAAGAGCTTATTTTTATTTGAATTATTTGCCACTAAACTTTGTGGCAGACTAAATTAATCCTTTCAATATGGATAGTTAATTTATTCATGTATGCATATTTTTAAATGGTCTTTAAATATATAAATATTTTGTGGTGGTCTTCAGTTTTTTCCCCCCATCTACTTATGTTTATCATTAAGCTGAAAGTCTGGTTTAATGCTTCTTTTAAAAGGTTTAGTTGTTTAATAATAGATCATATTTGACTTTTTAATTGATACTTAACGCTATATAATCCTGTTAATTCCCCAGCACATATTTTACATTCATTAATAAAAGTGCTAGAATTTATTGGAAATAAAATGCAATTTTTACATTGAATTTAATGCCATATTTAAAATCAAGCTAGGAGACAACCCACCAAACACAACCCAATGGCAGATGATTATTTAAAGCAGTAATTTTGGAGAAGCTGTTAGCTCGTGGCTTACCAGGTATTATTTCAGTTCTTTGTCAGTACAAAGGAAGGAAATGACTCATACAGTTATTCTTACTATAGTTTTAGTCTTGACACAGTAGAGTATGTATCTTAGACATATATCTTCTGTCTAACACGGCAAAAAATTTCATGTTGACAAGTGAAATGATCTTAAATCGAGTCTATGTTCCTCATTTTGAGACTTGCAATGAGAATATTTAACTAATTTCTAGACTTGTTAGACATTTCTAGTGAAATGATCCAATTCTATCATCAAATAATTTATTTTTTATATATAACAGCATTTCTTAAACAAGTCTGATTAATGATCGGCCAATTTCACCAGATAAAATGATTTAAAACCACCAAAAAACTAGAAATAAGCTGCATAATCTTATAACAGTCTTAGAACAATCTTATACTGAGAAAAATGTAATATAGTGACTTGATTTAAGATGATTTCACTGATTTATCTTTACTTTTTATGCAGTGAATGTCCATCATTTTCACTTCCATTATTCAACTCATTTCAGAAATAAATCTCTTGGGCTACAGAAAGCTCAATAGAATTTTATTGGTTTTATCGCTACCATCAGTATTACATTTTATGCATCGTTTCTTCCCACCTGTAATTACATCAGAGGCTGGCTGTGTCAAAATATAAACACCCATTATTTTTTTTTTAATTACCTTTCTTGATGCCACTAACATTGAGGTTTGATTCCTTTTTTATATAACAAAAAATGAAGGACACTTGGAGTACATGTATATAAAAGACAAACGAAATACAAGCCACTGTGGACTTTACAATGTGTTAAGAGTATTTCCTGTGCCCATCAATAGTCATTTTGGATAATACTTTTTAAGGACCTGCCTTGACCTTGTGTTTTTTTTTATTCTCTGAACAGAAAATGATGGGAATTTTTTTTTTTGTTTAAATATACAATTATCAATGGGAACAAGAAGCACCTTTAACAGAAGACGGAAGGCAAAGGGGACACTGCGTACGGCATCGCAGGATTGGTGATCCGTTCCAGTGGTTCTTTTTGCTGATTGATTCTTAACTCACAATAAGCTCCTCCCTTTTTGTCTGTTGAGCTGTAGAAGTCTGCGATGCCTCTCTGTCTCTCTCTCTCTCTCTTTCTCCATGGGAACCCCAGCGACGGCCAAGTCACAGGAGCGAATGATTCCAGAGACTGGTCCTCAAAACTGCAACGGCAAAAGTCACACTGTAAAATACTGCAACTGCAAAATCACCACTTCCAGTATTTAAGTCAAATATTATTATAGCAATTTGCATTATAATAACGCATATTTTAAAGTCAACCTGAAATCAACATGGACCTTTTTAACCTCATTATGACGTCCTTGGTCATATTAGGCACGATTAATCAAGATTCATTACATCATATCAGTAAAAGACTGATTTTCCTGTAATTTTTTCATCAAACTATAATGACTTTTCCTGATCTTCTGATTCTGATTACATCATCGTGCATCAGCGGGTAGGGAAAATAAATATTATCCAGTAATATCACGTTTCACCTCCACTCCCACCACCCCCACCTATCATAGCACCTGTCTAGCTCAGAGGCTCTCACTGATACTGTGTTTCACTCAGAAATGTCAGGGTATGGAAGGAAAACAAGCCATGAGCTCTGATTTCAAGCTCACTTTAAAGGGCACATATTCATATTTTCTTGTATTTATTTATTTTTTGGAGATCCCTTATGGCATTTCAGGGTGTCATAGTCCAGTTTACAAGGCCCCTCCCACCTCTCTTGGTCTAAATTAAACAGGCTTGCTGTTTTTACTGTGCCTTTAAGACTGACATATGTAAATGAGATCTGATCTGATTGGCTCTCCTGAATTGCACTTCATTCAAAAAGCAGTCTGGGCTTCTTATAAACACTCCTTATAACTTCAGTGTGAGTGGGTGGGGCTATAACTGCTGTAGGTTGACATCACAAAAATTCAAGAGAGACATATACGGACTTTTAAAGCTTAAGTTCAGTTTTTTAACAATAAATTATTTGGAAATCATTGTAAGGCTATGTGTTTGTTACTGATCAGTTTGGCCACTTTTCAATATTGTGATTGCTTGATTAACAGTCAAAATAACCGGCAGATTTCTCAATTACTAATGTAAATGATATGTAAGTGGCAGAAAAAAAAGCATACGTTTTTGAGGAATTCCTCGGCGACGATACGAGCACGGGCGTTGACGGCCAGCTTCATCTCACTGATCTCCTTGTCGATCTCCTCCATGAAGTGGATGACAAAGTCCACCAGCTTATGCTTGTACATCTGCTCCGTGTGGAAGTTGGTGATGAGGAAACTGATGTCATAGCCCTGACGGGAGAGACAGGCATGAGGATGTTAGAAAAGACACAAAGTGAAAGTAACACTAAAGATACGTGTACATGTTATGTACACTACTGCTTTCTATGCAGTGTATGCAGCTGCTGTACACTGGTCATTGTTGCCTACAGGCTCTCCACAGTCTAAATATGTCTTCTTTATGATATACGCAGTCGTTTAGTGTTGTAGAAGTACTGATGATAGCCAACATAAATTCAGAAAAGTGTATTCAAATACTGTTAAATCTCCCAATCTATATACACAGACAGATACACATGTACATTTTAATTTCTATCAATTGCTTTATAGCTTTCTATTGCAATACAAAACATTCTGCAAAAGACTGTATTTCTATTTCTTATTATTTAAAAAACGGGTTGGTTATTGTGTTATTAAAGGCTTTTTTATTTCTGTATAATTCCACTGTTAAGAGGTAAGCATGGTCATTAAGAGTGCCTTAATGTGAAATGCTCCATTTCAAAGAAACTTACTTAGTCAGAATTGTTCATAGTGGTGGTGACAGGAACCAGACGTCTGAAGCGCTTCACACCTCTAAAAGCTCCCTCACAGAAAGTTATTACATTAAATGGTTATGAATACACTGCCTGGTGTCAGACATTTGGCCTAGAACTTATTTTTTAAACTCCATTCACAGCAGAGAGGTGCTGTAAGGCAAAACAGTCCCCAAATAAAATGTATTTACCATTATTATTTCACTATTTTACCATTATCAGCACTTTAATTTTGGATAGTAAAATAAAGTGGCCATATTTGTGCTGTAGATATTGCGCCCTCTGGTTCCTATCACCACCACTGTAAAGAAATCTGAGTCGGAAAGTTTCTCTACAATGAACCAGATCACATCAAACCACTCTAAATGACTGAATTATGCAGCAGATTTAATGTCAAAATTTTTTTCTAGACTATGCTGCCTCTTTATCTCACCTCCACAGGTTTCCTCCGCAAAATGAAGAAGTTCTCCGCTCTCATCATCATGAAACGCATGAATTTGTGGCACAAGATCTTCTCAATCTCATCCGCCTGAAAGGAACATTAGAGTTTAAACTGAATCCCAAACCACTCCCAATCTGACAAACAGTGCACCGTACGATTTACTAAAGCTATTAACAAGAAATGAATCACGGCTTCAGCAGAGCATGTGCTAATACTGTTGCATGTGCCAGTTCTTTGATATGGACTACTGTTTTCTACCCTTAGAGAGTGAACTTGTACCAGGAGTTTCATGAGAATGCTGATCTAGTTTGTGTTTTACCATAATCAATATAAAAAGGTGAATATATAGGAAGAGATTCTATGTTCTACCATATATGGAAGCCACTATGTGAATAGAAAATAGTTTAGGGCCGTTAAACAGGAACCACTAATGAACAAACTGAACAGAGCTTCAAAGAATCATGTCAGATTTAGTACATGACTAAAAGACTCTGTAGCGAAAGCAGAACTTCTGACCTGTTTGACGGCGATGCTGACCCGCACAGAGTTAATGGAGCCCTCTATGAGAACCTTCTCTTTGTCATTGCGGCTAATTACCACCGGCTGCAACAGCAACTCTTTGCTGCTCCTGTAGTGAGAGATCAAATTCAAGGATCACCAACAAAAACAGAAACAAAGAAAGTATGACTTGAATCCAAAAAAGGCTTACGACTCCATACGTACAGCACATGAGCTGATGCATATGGCATGACATGTCAAACACAGTCATGTTGAATTTGGCTCATTTCAGGGTGAGTCAGAAACGATGATCCAGGATGACTCACCTAACTTCCACCTCTGGCTTGTTGTGCCGTTCCACCACTTGAGAGGAGAAGTTCTCCAAACACAGGGCTGCTTGCAGGGTGGCCCGCACAGCGTTCAGGTATGGCCGCAAAGTCGCCGTCTGAAGACAGGTTTAAAAAAAAAAAGAAAGAAAGAAGATTGTCAAATCAATGGTGTAGCTAGAACCTGCACCATTGGCTACTGAAGCTAATGCATTCACAAATTAAGGTTCTAAAGGGTTTACCATGTGCAACACTTTATATACAGTAGATCTTTAAAAACACATCAGTTCTGATCAGTGCATATGTAACATGATAATATCAGAATCATATCAGCACAGGTGGATATTTGCTTAAATACGTGGTCATCAAAGTGATGGTCAGATTTGTTCAGTATTTCAAAGCTAGAGTCGTAGGCAAAGGTGTGGGCTCCCCAGGTCAAATGACATGTTTTGTTGATTGAACTTGAAATAAGTTAACACACCCTGTACAAAAGAGACTTTGTTTGCTAATTTTAGTGCACAATTTACCTTTATTTGCTGATACTGGAAAAATTTTATCTAAAATGCACTATAACTGTTTTTCCAATATGTTGGAATCAGCAAATATAAACTGTGCAAACGCAGCAAAACAACAAAACACGTCCAAACATTTGCATTCAATGACAAATCTGATGAAATATTTACTGTACTCCAGAAGAGCCGAATAAATAAATACCAGTGGATCCCTAATAACAACATTAAAGGCTATTCCATAAATATGTTTGCTGGATATATATTTTTTCAATGTACATACATCATATTGTGAAACCAACTGTTTTGTTTTTTGAGCACTTTTCAAAGAGTCCCCTGCCTTTTTTAGTTAAACATGATATCAATCGTTTCAGGATTTCCATTCAAGCAGCGTTTAATAAATGAGAGAATCATGCGCCGATGCCAAGATCCAATATTTCTCATCTACATATCTGCCGATGCTGATAAATAAACATTTACAAAATGTAGAATTCTTGTTGGATTGGCTTTAAGGAAAATAGAACATCTATTTTAACTGCATTTGTAACCTTATTTCTGTAGGATTACGAATGAATTAGAACATTTTAGCACACAAGCCCAGATCTAACTCGTCTGCTCTTCTGGAGTACAATAAATTTATCATCAAATATCGGTTTGAAATGTTGGTCAAATCTAAGCATCTGTCCAATGCATCCAATGCGGATCATTTATTTCTAAGCAATTATCTACCAATGCTGACATGATTCTGATATTTTTGTGCATCCCTAATGTTTTACAGTCAATCTGATTTTAATGTAGGAACCTGTTTAACTTTAAAATGCTTATATTAATACATAAATCAAAATATTGTTTGCAGGATGTATTAATCATCTATTAATGATATTATAAAAGCATCGTATCATAGTAACATCAAAAATACTGTACAGTCCAGATTTTTACAACCTTAACATATAGCGAGGCACATTACATTACATTTGACTGTAAATTTGCAGATTTTAAGGGGAATCTCACCGATTTTTCAAAAATTTAGCCTAATTAAATAGTTAAGGTGTAAACACTGTCAATCAGAGTAGTCTGACATGAAACACTCCGTCCTAGAGAATATTACAGAGTCAGGATTGTTCACAGTAGTGGTGATAGGAACCAGACGACCAAAGTTTCTCTTAAAGCTATATCATGGCCATAAATATGCTGGCTAATGCCCAAAACGTTGCATGTAATAAGAGATCTTGCCTAAAATGTGTTTTTTAGGTATGCAAGGTGTTCCTCAGCAAAACATCCACCAGAGAAAAGAAGATTTTCCACTATTTTACCATCATCATTACATCTAAAACTCAGAAGACACGTGTAGGCTCACTGGTCATTGTAAATAGTAAATAAAATGTCTATAGTTGTGCTGTGGACACGGTGACCCCTGGTTCATGCCACCACCACTGTAAAGAAATCTGAGTCAGTACGTTTCTGTACAACTAACCATTTCACACCAAACCCCTCTCAAATGACTTTGTTTACGTCTCAATCACTGAATTGTGCAGACCTAATGAACAAACAGTGGAATTCCCCTTTCAGTTACAATAAATATCCAGCTACATGTGTAGCGTTAGGTTTGTCATGTATCATTTATTAGAGACCGTTTGCAGAACACAGACCACTTTAGATAAATGTGAATGAATGAAACAAATATCACACGTCGTAGCACCGTATTCTCACAAGTGTGCTCTGGATTCGACATCAGATACTTTAATCACACGACAATAAACCCGAATTAAACTCAGAAACACAATCCATTAGAAATGCACAGTAACGTTAGCAAGCTAGCAATAGCATCAACACGGGCAGCTCCACCGTCTCCGCTCTGCCCGAGCTTCGAGTCCGATAACACAGCACGGTACGACCGCTAGAGTTATCACTCAGCACTTAGTTAAACCCCAAGAGAAACATTAATACAAATAACGACACTTTTGATAAAGAAGAAAATCTCACCATTTTCTGTTGGCTTTTGAGGAAGGCGGAAGTGTCTGCGCCACGCCTGCAGCCTTCGTGCGCCTTCTACCAAAAACATATAATATGGGCGCGGTGTAAACATATCACCCACGTTTTATACAACGTTAATAAATACAAAAACAAAGAGTGTGCTTGCACATACATCTGTCTATAGAAGCAATATTTAAGAGCACTACGTGGTGCAAAAAAACATCAAATAAAATCACTAGATGTTTCAACTTGAAGCCTAAGTGCCCAATCTACTCTAAACATTACGGTCATCATTTCGCTCAGGCAAACTTACCTTGATTCGCTTTTTCTTCCATATATGGCAAATAGACGGTCCGGTTCGGTTTGTGTTTAAGAAAGCAGAATGGTAGCTGGAGTTCTCTCTTTCACCGATCTGTACCTCTTGACGAGTAATAATTATTACGCGAAAACGACAATATGTTGTTTTTGCTTATACGTTGCTTGAAAAGGGGCTCATTACCGGCTGAAACAGGAACGTACCATGTTTGTAACCGATTGAGTTTCTGATATTCGTATGGGGGTGCGTTCTTCGGTGATGTCAAATCCTTCAGCAGTTATTAAAAACGTATATAAACTCTGCTTAAACGCATTTTCAGCGTAACATTGTGAATAAAAAGGACATAACCTGAATCTGACCGTTCAGTTTTTTTTTCATTTGTACTCAGAAAGAATAGTTCCCCCTTTTCTCTAAATGGTACGGTCAGTAATGGATGCCCGTTCTCCGAGGTAAATAATAATGTGGATATTTTGAATAAATTCTTGTTGTGTGTGGCCAATTTACATACTCGAGTTGTATCTTTCTACGACCAGATCGTAGATATAGACCCAATATATATTTTAAGGCGATGCAGTTTGATGTACATTGAATTAGAAGCCGGTTTTATGCGTTTGTTTGGCTTACGCCACCTAGGACGAACTTGCTAGCTAGCTTAGCTAACAAGCTAAAAGCAGCAGCATATTACTCGACAAATGAATAAGTAGGTCAGGCTGTAGATAAAACAGAGTTATAAGTCGCTTTAAAACGCACATAAAATCACACAAATATCACAGACTGCTAAGATATTGGTGTAATGTGTACAGTGAAACGGTAGCTAGCTAGCTAACCAGTTAGCTTGGTTCTCCAGCTTCATTGAAAGGTTTCATTTCTATAACTGTCAACAGTATATATGTATATTATATATGTGTATAATCATCCTTAACTCAGCTCATGGAGTCTACATTAACTAGCCAATAAATAAATAAATACAAATAAATAACAGATGATAGCCCTCATGAAGAGAGTTAGCTTACAGACCAAACCTGAACATTTTGCTGAAAAAGATTCACCTTGGCCCTAAAATCTCTCTCTGTGCTGATAGGATCTCTGTACTAGTTTTTCCAGACAGTGTTTGAAGATCAGCTTTATAAAAGATCATTTGAAGTGTACATAGCATTGAAAACCGATGAGATTTGTTGAATGGAAAGCTCCACAAAAGATATCCAAAACTCTGCTGGGAAATTGAGTCTTGTGTTGTCTTGTGTCCCCGCAGTTCCAGTTACCTGTAACAAAGAAGATGAGTGAACTGAAGGACTGTCCACCACTCAAGTACTATGACTTCAAGCCAGTGGAGCATGTGAAAGTGTGTCCACGCTACACGGCCGTGTTGGGCCGCTCAGAGGACGATGGCATTGGCATTGAGGAACTGGACACACTGCAGCTGGAGCTGGAGACACTCCTGTCCTCTGCCAGCCGCCGTCTTAGAGCACTGGAAGAACAGAGACAGGTGAAGGAGTTGAAGAAGCTGTTTGTCTTAACTGGCCATCTTATTCTGTATATCTCGCCTTTCTTTCCCTCTCTGTTTTTCTTACCCTTCACTGCTTATCTCTCATTCCTTTCCTCTCTTTCAGTCTTCTGGTCTCCCTTTTCCTGTCCTTCTTGTCCTTTCTTTTTTCTTTCCTTGTTCCTTCTCCTCACTGATGTGTTGAAAATGGTCTGCTACCCAAGTCATATCTGGTAAACAGCAGTCCTGTGGTCAGAAATAGACCAGTAATGAATTAGGTAGAGTGGGGCTGATAAATTGTGTAGATGGGATACAGTCTGTAATTGTACACCCAGATAGTATAACATGATAGTGTAACATGGCCTGTACATGGAAGTACAAAGTGGTTGTTTATAATAAGGTCTAAATATCTTTCCAACAGATTCTTACAGACTGGCAGGACAAAAAAGGTGACAAAAGGTTTCTGAAGCTGAGCAAAGATGCAGACCTTTCAGCCTCCTCTCGCCATTCCAAGCCTAAGAAGCAGAAGTTGGATGGGAAGGCAGGGCACGGGCCTGGTCCCGGTCCAGGCAGACCCAAATCTAAGAACCTGCAGCCCAAAGTTCAGGAGTATGAATTCAACGAAGATCCGCAGGACATACCACGCAACCCAAAAAATGACGCACCAAACAGGTTGGCTCAAATATCAAATGATCTATTTGTATTTTTATTTTGTAATATGTACAATATATATACAGTGTATACAGGACAACTTTAACATGTTAACTTGTGTTGTGTATCAGATTCTGGGCCTCAGTGGAACCCTACTGTGCAGACATCACCAATGAGGAGATAAGAGTCCTTGAGGAGCTTCTTAAACCCCCTGATGATGAAGCAGAGCACTACAAGGTAATGTCAGTAAGGAGGCAGGACTATTTCATACACAAATGCCAGCATTGCCAGTGTGAACAGTTGATATGATGTATGTATCAGAGACATGATTAACTATGTATTTTGAATTTATTTTTTATGGTAGATTCCTGCTCTGGGCAAGCATTACTCTCAGCGCTGGGCTCAGGAGGACCTCCTGGAGGAGCAGAGAGAAGGAGCCCGAGCCAATGACAAGAAGAAAAGCATCCTGGGTCCACTGTCTGAGATAGATGCCAAAGGTATCTCTGGTTGTTAAAATAACACTCTGGACTTCAAAGATAATGTTGTGTTTTTATGCAAAAACATATGTTAGTGGTCTGAGTCCTAGTTTTTACCCTGTATGTTCACATTTAATTGATCAGAGAATTACAGTACTATTTAAAAGACCACCTTTTCACTTTTTTAATTTCAATCAAATGGCCATTATGTAAAAAGTTAAAAAAACAGAAAACATATTTAACAGAAAAATACACAGAAGCCTCAGCAACTAAATATGATATAAAAAAATTGAGTATTTATTGTGCCCATGCATTGCTTTTATTGCAGCTTCCATTCTTTTTCAGGAGACTTGTATTCACTTTTCCTGCAGGGACATTTTTCTGCACCTACAAAGTTCAGTCTAAGAAGGCAATTGTATCCTCTTCAGTACACAAAAATATTTTGTTTTCTGTAGATGTGGATGCCATGCTGAAGAAGTCTGAATCCCAACACGAACCCCCGGAGGATGGCTGTCCATTTGGCCCTCTCACACAACGTCTGCTTCAAGCTCTGGTGGAGGTCAGACACACTTAATATACTATACTGTTAAGTAGAGAATCTGATAAACGCACACATTTTTGTGTTTGTATAGATTCAGTGTTGTTGTAATTCAGATTGCAGCAGTTTTTGATTATGGCTTTAAGTGATATTAAACTGGATATTTTTATATTACAGTTAATTGCCATGGATGGTCTTTGTGCCACGAGACACTACACAATAGTGTAAAGGAATACATCATTGTTTGTCTGTCCGCCGCATTTGTGTCATGCGTTGACTTGAAACTCATTTATATGTGTTAAACTTACTAGCTTAATGGCTTTTATTATAAGTGATTTTTGAGTCATTTGGTTTTCAGTAATTTTCTACAAAGAAATTCTTCATCCATGGTAACCGACCATACGCTACAGATGTGGCTGATGGTGATTAGGCTGAAAAACACTGGAATATTCCTCTAAGTCAAAAGATGTTTTATTTCCCTTGTAGGAGAATATCATATCCCCTATGGAGGATTCCCCCATTCCAGACATCCCGTCGAAGGATGATGGGGCTGGAACGTCACCTCGTAGCCAGGGAAAAGCTTTCAGGTAAAAATGCCCTGACGTTTCTTCATGTGCAGTAGGAGCGAGTGTAGGATGTTGCAAAAGAGGTGGATTTCGGAAGTATGAATTCTAAGCTTTTAATGTATATATTTTTGTTTGTAAATAAAAGAGGAGATATTTGATTTTAATTTAATGAAAAGTAATCATTGTGCAAATAGTTGTGCATTAAAATGTGCAGAAGAGGACGTAGAGGACGTGTTAACTTATTTTTACTTAGAAAATCAACATAACTTGACCGGGGTGCCCAAACTTATACATACAACTGTAAAGTGAAAGTAAACATTGCTTTTGGAAGGAACACCCACTGTTTTTTCCTTTTCTTTCCAAAATAGGTTTAAAATTACACAACAGAGGTTAAAATGTTTGTGTCATTTAAACCAAGAAAGCTGAAATGCAGGAAACGCTTACTTGTACAAAATTCATATACTTTTCGAGGTCGCTGTACTGTATTTCCCCCTTTCCCTCTCCCTCTTCCTGCAGTGTGCCTCATACACGTTCTCTGGAGGCCCGTATTAAGGAGGAGTTGGTGGCTCAGGGCTTGCTGGACTCAGAGGAGCGGCAGGGTGCAGGGGGAGACTCGGAGGACGAGGTTCTGGCTGAGCTTCAGAAGAGACAGGCTGAGCTCAAAGCCCTGAGTGCCCATAACCGCGCACGCAAACAGGAGCTTCTCCGGTGAGATGTTCTTCGAAAGCACACGTTATGCCACATCTATTATTAAAGCCACCTTTTTTATTTTGGAGATGGCTGAAAGTGATAGTGCAGCAAAAAGTCTGGTTTACAAAGTTGTCTTCTTACTCAAAATATAGTCGATCAGCAAAGACATTTTGCTTCTTTATTTTTGCAGCCATCTAGTAATGGAAGCTTAAATTAGAGGTGTGTGATCATGATTATCAAAATACACATCTTGATATTTAATTTTTTGAGATATGATAAGTTGGAACACAGGAAAAAGCACCAGTAGTGCCACATTTAAAAAATACTATCAAAACAATGAATACGGCGATTTTTATTTTTGTCTAATTAACCGGAACTATTTATGCTTTTTAGAATGAAACATGTTGTTGGTCAGTGTTCTGTAGGTACTGATGATATCAATGATGTGGTCAGAAAACATTGTGAAATAATTTATTACATTATATATAAATATTGTCGTATTGCTCACCCCTAGTTTATACCCCACTAATTAGCATTGTTCAGACTATGCCTAGACCATCACACCCTCGCCTCAAATTACACTGACTTCAGTAGTTACTAATAAACTTGCTTATGTGGCTTCTGAAACTGTATGCCTTACTGTCAAGTATTTTTATAGATAACAGACCACTTACTGACCGATTGAGATTACTTTTAACAACACTGAGACGCTGAGAGAGTCTGACAATTTAGACACTATGATGCTTACTAGTTGTCAGATATTTCTCAGTCAAGAATTAAGAAAAAACTGAAAACCAAAGTACGAAACCTGGGTGTAATCTTAGGCCTTGTTCAGGCTGTTAGCCCAAATCCAATTTTGGCATATCCAGATTGAATTTTTTAATAGTCTGGCCAGCAAAAAAACCCACCTAAAATTAGATTATTGCAAAACGGATCCAAACCATATTTGGCAGTGGTTTGAAATGCAATTCCATTTGGATTTTTACAGACGCGTCTTAGTCTAGACGCTCTGGCCACTCAGATTGAAAGCCTTTTGCATCACTTGCAAATCACACTCGATTGAGCATGTCGGGTGTCGCTGCACTCACGGCTCTTTCAGTGCGATTTCGGAGATCATCCAGTGTTTTGAAACCAACGACGAACGCTCTGAGCTGTTTGAGGTTCACTGCCGACGAAAATCACGCTGCACAGTTATGACGGATTCGCTCTTATTGAAGTGGAGAGCACAGAACGCTTTCTGCTCACGGGTCACTTCCCCCCCAGACTGAAGGGAGCCATCTTCCACTGACAGTCAGAAACTCTGTGACCCTCTCTTTCAATTGGTATGTGATTGGTTCCTAGGTGCCTCACGGTTGTAAAAATATAGCGCTTTGAAATTGGATGAATCTTTTTGAATCACCTTGTACAGAAAGCTTGGAGAGACTCTTTGTTACTCTGCTTCTAAGCTGTGGAACTCTCTTCCACCTTGTATTAGGCAGTTAAGCACACTTTTTAAAGAAACCTTTGAAAACATATCTCTTTAATTCAGCTTTTAATAAAATTTCATGTCTAATTTGTGTTTCCATTTTTAAATGGCCAGGGCCCACTGGCAGACTCAAAAGTTTTATTACTTCTGTAACCTTACTGGCTGAGCTGTTCATTGCATTGTAATCCCTGTAGTTACTGAATAATAAGCCTTAATATGTAATAAGCCTGGGATTTTAAGGGGTTTAATTTAATTTTTTCTTATTGCTTTAGATGATTTAAATTAACATTGCTGACTTTGCTGTATTATTTTTTAAAGTTTTGCTGAAACTGAACAGAAACAATAATAGAAGAAAATCAAACTTTAATTAAATTTTATTACCTATATTAATCTTATTAGCACTTTAAGCTGCCACCACTACGAAAGGTGCTGTGTGAATAAAGTTAGTGGTATTGTGGTTATGTTATCATCAAGCGGTGTATAACCATTTCATGTAACAACTTTTTGTGAAATAGTTTATGTAGACATATTAAACATTTCAGACGTCTGGTGCCTATCACCACCACTGTGAACAATTCTAACTCTGTAAATTTCTCCAGAACAGAGGAATTTAAATCAAACCACTCTGAATTAGTTTGTTTACATCTTTTTAATTATGCAAAAATGTTGAAAAATTGATGGAATTCCCCTTTAAGCCAAATGGTTAGACCTTTAAGACACATCACATCAGACTGCTAGTCTTTATATCTAGAGATCGTCAGTGGGAGCGACTTATCACCTTTATAGTATTGTGATGTGTTTTTTCCTTGTTAGTGAACAGAGCTGATTGAACTTACCTCCTGATTATTAAGCTCTTCATGTCATCTGTCTCCACCTCTTTGTAGATTAGCGCGGGAGGAGATGCGGAAGCAGGAGCTCCGTCAGCGCGTTCGAGTGGCAGATAACGAGGTCATGGAGGCCTTCCGCCGCATCATGGCTGCCCGGCAAAAGAAACGCACTCCGACCAAGAAGGAAAAGGATCAGGCGTGGAAGGCCCTGAAGGAGAGGGAGAGCATCCTTAAACTGCTGGACGGATAATAAAACAAGAGAGATCGTTCTGCTGAGGACGGACTGTGTTAGTGTGCTGGTGTGGCCTGGGGACCAGAGCTTTTAATAGGCAGGTCAACCAGCTCACTAACATAAAGACAACCAACCATATGGAACCTAGGCGAATATCAGGGCTGGTTCTAGACAGGTCGAGATGGGCAAGTCTGAAATTTTGAATTACTCTGATATAGTATTGTGTAGATGTAGTGTTGGCACCACAGCAGCTCCTAAGAGGTTAAATAGAAACATTTTTATCTTATGAGTGAGCTGTTCAGGTAGGGCTGCACGATATGGACAAAATAGTGTAGTATATTCCTGCATATTGTGAAATGCCCTGCAGTACACACATTAGTGAACACTTGCTATAACGTTAAAGATTGGCCTGTATTATTATTGACCAAAAATTCTTATGTAGTATCTTGACCTGCCCAAACTCCAACAGAAACATCTGAGGTGGGGTGGATCAGGATGTTCACAGCATGCAACACAGCATTTAGTGGTTAGGTAGAGGCTGATTTGCATATTGCAGCCTTCTGCAAAATCAGTATTGTGAAGGCCAGTATTGCAATAACAGACAAGTAATTATATATTGTGCAGCCCAGTGTCACTTAAAAGGGGGATTCCACTCATTTTTCAGAATTTCTGCATAATTAAATTGTTAAAATGTAAACAAAGTCATTCAGAGTAGTTTGATGTGAAATCAGAGAAACTTACAGAGGTGATGATAGGAACCAGATGTCCAGAGAGTTGTTGCACAAAGTGGTTACCAGCACATCGATGCCGATCACATCTTTTCACGTTAGTTTAGAGGTAAAGTTTTGGCCTAAAATTTACATTTTTTCTATTGTTTTGCTTTACATTACATGTAAAACTTAGAAGACACCTGTAGGTTCACTGGTGGTTTTGGATAGTAAATAAAATGGCTGTGTTTGTGCTGTAGACATCACAACACCTGGTTCTTATCACCACTACTTAAGTTTCTCGATCACTTTGATTGACTTTATTTACATCTCAACAAATTAAATTTACAGAATTTTTTTTAAATCTGTGAGATTCCCATTTAAAACATACTGGACGGACATTAATGCATCAGTGTCATCTGAGACATAAGCGTAGGACCAAACAGCGTCCATTTTGTGGTGAACCTGCATTAGATTAATACGTGACTGAAATAGATAGAAGTCTTTTTTTTTTATTTATTTATTCTTCCATCTGTGGTCCATCATAATCCAGGTTTAGAACCAGCCCTCAGCAGGTCCCACTGAGCAAGATGATGTGCACTAAAAACCTGTCACTGATACTTACACTACTGTGATTCATCCCATCATGATGATGCCTGAGCTCTGGATTTGTACGGAGTACAAGTGCGGACCTAGGATCAGTTCATTTTTGCCTCTCGTACCTGACGAACACGATAATGTGGACAGAGTGGAGCTGATCTCAGATATATATGTGGGTTCTGGTGTCTCATTTACCGTGTTTGCCTTTTTTGTACAGTTCCCAAATGCAAACAGTTACCAGCAGTGATTGTTACTGTTGAAGTTATTGTCATAATTATAAAGCTGTATTTTGCCAGTGCATGAGTTACAGAGGATGCACGTTATTTTGCTTCTGTTTTTGTTTTTATTTGAAACGAACAGATTAAAGAGAGTATTCAAATGAAGGGGTTATTGTTTGAAGTAAGTTCCTTTTGTATAAAAGAGACCATAGTGTTGTTGATATAGTAGTTTGTTTCCATTTGAATGGCATCATTCTCAGTGCCCTTGTGTGTAAATGAACACATGAAAATAAACTGGCGGTTGATGAGACATCATGAAGGAGTGTTCAAAGCAAGGAAAGTTATTTTCACACACAACATAAACATCTGTATTAGTTCTTTACAGGTCAGGGTGTTAAGGGTGCGCTCTAAATTGTAGAAATGCATGTATGTAGGCCACAAAGGGCGCATTCTTAGTATTTCATACTTAAATACTTAGTATTTAGCTATTTTGTAGTGTTGCCCCAAACCAATGTGTGGTACCAGTGTGTGGTATAGCACACTGCACAATAGTAGAGTTACTATTAACACCAAGTAAATATGACGGGGGGGAAACGTTAGTTTCTGAGTTTCCAGTGTATGAAGGATGAAGCCTTAAAGCTACACCACGTAAATTTTGGGGATTTAGAGACCTCTCTGGTGGTAATGTGTAATTGCACACACTGTGCAGTATGTAATGTGGGTTGTGCTTCTGACCACTTCCCCGAGAGGATGAATCTGATTATTGCAAGCATGCTGAAAGAGAATTCGAAGGGAACGTATCTTATGAGACTGAAAGTGAATTATCTACTGTCATCATGTCTTCATCAGTGTTGTGTTGGTTTTGCATTTGACACCTGAACATCGAGCAAAACCTTTTTGAGCCTGTGTGGGATGTTAATACATAAAGGCGTATGGCGTGGCCCAAAAACTCCTGGAAAATCCAGCCCGATGCCTCTGACTTTTAAATGATTAATTTAGGCTTTACAGGGCAAATCAGAGCAGCGTGATTCTTCTCCTGACTCAGCAATGCTACTTCAATTTTAACAAAATCTTACATATTGCATCTTTAAATACCCAGGAGATGTGTTTGGGCAACATAGCTTAGCGCAGCCCACTGTTGTGCTAATTTTGCGAAACTCATCACAATGAAATGAGTCCAGTTTGGAATGTCATGGTTTCTGATAAGATATTCACCATAATACTAAAAAAAACAAAGCTACATAAAATTGCTGTCTTTAATATGAGTGAAATGGACAGTTGAGTGGTGCTGCGTTTGGGTGCTCAGTGTACCACATGGTTAACTAGTAAATATGACTTATTTCTGTTTGAGTTAAAATATTATAATATTGTGAGTAATGACCACGTATCGCTGTTGTCGGAAGAAAACCTTGTGTCTCCAAAATGGCAACTTTACAGGAAAAGGAAAAATCCACTTTACTTTTAATGCAAGTCAATGGAACCAGACGTTTTTCCAAGATATTTTGAGCCGTTTCTTTTGGTCCATTCTTCATGAAGTTTACACATAATATAAAGAGCAACAAACACTTTCAAATTATGCCAAGAACTGAAAAATGACAAAAATGGAGTTACGAGGATTTCTTCCGACAGCAGCGATATGCATAAGGCTGACAATAGGACCTTTATTTTGAAATACTGGCACAATCATGCTCACCTAAGTTTCCTCAAGTATTTTAACGTTAGCTAGCTAACGTGTTTTAGTGGCGGCTGTCAGATCATAATATTTTAGCTAACTCTGTAAAGACTGCATTTTCTGCACAAACTATAAGTCTTGATTTTATGCTGATCTTGGCTGATTATTCTTGCTACTAATATTGGTTAAAGGGGCAAAATCACAGAAAAACTAATTTTACTTGCTTTCACAGTTCCCAGGGGAGGGTTTAGGGATTAGGGAATAGGGAGTAGGGAGTAGGGAATCGGGAGTAGGGAGTAGGCAGTAGGCCGTCGGGAGTAGGGAATCGGGAGTAGGGAGTAGGGAATAGGGAATCGGGAGTAGGGTGTAGAGAATAGGGAGTAGGGTGCAGGGAGTAGGGTGTAGGGAGTAGGGAATCAGGAGTAGGGAGTAGGGAATAGGGAGTAGGGTGTATGGAGTAGGGAATCGGGTGTAGGGAATAGGGAGTAGGGAATCAGGAGTAGGGAGTACGGAATAGGGAGTAGGAAATCGGGAGTAGGGTGTAAGGAATAGGGAGTAGGGTGTAGGGAATAGGTAGTAGGGAATCGGGAGTAGGGAGTAGGTAGTAGGGAATCGGGAGTAGGGAGTAGGGAATCGGGAGTAGGGTGTAGGGAATAGGGAGTAGGGAGTAGCGAATCGGGAGTAGGGGATAGGGAGTAGGGAGTAGGGAATCGGGAGTAGGGAGTAGGGAATCGGGAGTAGGGAGTAGGGAATCGGGAGTAGGGAATCGGGAGTACGGAGTAGGGAATCGGGAGTATGGAGTAGGGAATCGGGAGTAGGGAGTAGGGTGTAGGGAGTAGGGAATCGGGAGTACGGGGTAGGGAATCGGTTGTAGGGAGTAGGGTGTAGGGAGTATGGAGTAGGGAATCGGGAGTATGGAGTAGGGAATCGGGAGTATGGAGTAGGGAGTAGGGAGAAGGGAATCGGGTGTAGGGTGTAGGGAGTAGGGTGTAGGGTGTAGGGAGTAGGGTGTATGGAGTAGGGAGTAGGGTGTAGGGTGTAGGGCATTGGCACCATCACGAAACCGAGCCCCGGCACTGGTGAGTGAAGCGCCATTATTTAAGATACGGTTTTGGAGGCGCCTGTAAAACACTTTCACTCCGGGAACCTGACAGCTGCCTTATATCTGACCTCTACTGCTGTATTTTCTATCTAACTGATTTTAAAACAAAAGCGTCACCGCTGCCTGAGAAGAATCTGTTCTACAAGCACAGGTAAGCAGAGAAAACAACGGCACCACAAGCTAGGTTAGCTAACCTTGGGCTAACACTGTGTTTTAGTGCCGTCTGTCCGATTCTGAAAGCTTAGTTACGTTCAGTATTTTACAGTTTCATACCGTAACGTTTCCTAATAAAGCACAGACCAACGTTAACCTAGCTATTTACGTAAAGTTGCATTGGAAGCCTCCAGCAGTAAATTGGCTTATTAATGTTGGTTAAATGCATCATAAACATTCACATAGTGTCTTTTATTTGTAGTGAGCTATAAATGTAGACATTGTGTTTTTGCCTTTATCGTTGTTTCAAACGAGGCTAATAAAACTGGAAATACTTGAGGTAACTCGGGTGAGCGTTGATTGTAGCTAGTATTTCAAAATAAAGGTCCTCTTGTCAACCTAACAATACGTATATACGGTAGGTACTCACGATATTACAATTCTCTGTATAAACTATAATTCCAATTTCAATTCAATATTATTTAAACTGTAATCCAATATTATGATGACTCTTTGCTATATTAGTTTCGCTACTAATATTGGTTAAAGGGCCAATATTATGGACTAATTTTCTTTGCTTTTACCTAAATAAAAGAGTGATGTAGTATGTATAAATGGTTAAAGCTTCAAAATGTGCCGTTCACCTCTCAGTCCTTACAGTCCATATATGGAAACTAATGAATTCAAAAAACATTTATTCAGCCTACACTACTTTAGCTCCGCCCACTCACACTGAAGCTAAAAAGAGGGTTCTGTCTGGATTCCTTTTTGAATGAGGCGCAATCCAAAGCAGCCAATCAGAACAGAGCACATTTACACATATCATCTTAAAAGCCCAGCAACACAAACAGCCTGTTTATTTCTAAGGGACAGAGACAGGTTGGGAAATGGGCATCTTTAAAAAAATGACCTATGATTGTTATTTGTGCATAAACCCACACAAACCTTATAAGTGGACTTAATTTGTGTTTACTCTGATGTAGGGTGTGAACATGTGTGGGAGGACAGCTTGCACTCTTGGTCCAGATGAGATCAGGCGTGCCTGCAGTTACCGAAACCGGGCCGGTCGGCGCAGACGGCCAAAGTGGAAGGACGGTGAGGCAGACAAATACCAGCCATCGTACAACAAGAGTCCTCAGTCCTCCAGCCCAGTCCTGCTGTCCAGCAGACACTTTAATAAGGTGAGGTGCTTTTGATTCTCTTTGTGACTGAGCAAGTAGTGATTCGGGGATAATTTTCAAAATGCAGTAAGTAAAGTTTTTTTAACACCTTATAATCTACATGCTAAAAGAAATGCTAACATTAAGAAATGAAAGCCACTAATGGGGTAAAAATGATCTGTGATGATTCAGCTTCACCAATTTTAGGATAATATGGTCAGTTATAATAAATCATAATAATATTCAATGAACTGTACGATTCTGGACGAAATAAAATTCTTGGGCTGTAAATAATAAAATAAATATTTCTGAATCACACAGGAAGCTTTAACCAGATCGTGGTTAGATATGCTGACTCATGATGCTTTGAATCGTTTCCTGAAGAACTGTAGTCAAATCAAGTGGCTAACGCCGGAAATGTAGACCCCTGAAGTCAGTTATGCAAATGAGCTTTATACACCTGTCCCTATTGGTTTTAATTCACTGTTAGTGGTTTGAGCATTAATATATTAGGATAACAGTCTGCAATATGATTGCAGTATCATATTCCTGTGTAATTACACTGAGCCACTAATAAGAAATCAGTCTTTCAAGGCTGCTCATTGCATCTTCAGTTCATTCTAGTCTTCTTCTTGTTGGACAGGATGCTCCAGTGGATGAGCGTGTCCTGGCGACGATGCGGTGGGGTCTTGTGCCAGCGTGGTTCAGAGAGAGTGACCCCAACAAGATGCACTACAGCACTTCCAACTGTCGCAGCGAGAGCATGCTGGAGAAGAAGTCTTATAAGGTATGAACATCGTCAGTGCTTTGTAGGACTGGCCGTTGTCGAAGGCAGGATGGTGGACATAGTAGTTCTTATTAAAACAAGTATGTCAACATGAAGGTCCTTTAGTCAGCAACAACTGAGTGCCCTACATGTGTGTGGCCGACACCCACAATATGCAGACATTAGAACAGGGGTGCCCAAAACATTTGTCTTGGGGGGAGCAGGCATAGTGCAATGTTTGTGGTGGGCCAAGGGGCAAAATTACAAAACAGTATACAAACAAAGAAGGTAGGCAGATTTCAAATAGATTTTAAACGTCAGATTCTAGTAAAATACACGAAAGCACAATTTTAAAGGAAATACATATATAGTTGCTGTTGTCAAATTTTTTTTATTATTTTTATTTTTTTTTTACTTTTTTGCATAATTTAAAAACCCCAGTTATTCTTTACATTGTGTTAAAATTTCATGATGAACGAACCAACAATGGTCCAAATTACTTTGAAAAAAAAATCTTATTACATTAAGTTGCATTGAAACATATTACATATATTTATAGCAGTAAAAAATGTTTGCTCTCTTATTGGCAGGCCAAATCAAACATCCTCACCAGCCCTGCAGTAGAGAAATACAAAAAGCTGTATTTCTGAGCTTTCCTAATATAAAAAATTATTTAAAGAGCCCTAATCAGTTTCAGTTTTTAGGACAATTTATGAGGTGACGATAAACAGTTAACAAGAAAAACAAAGGTTTTCCACGAAGGTCAGAAGTTTTTTGTTCTCTATACTGTCGGAACTTCAGAGTGGGAGGATGCACATCACATAAGTACACACTTCTTTTAATTACAACTGTGCCGTTCTGTGCATTTTGTGTTTGTTTTGCGCCACAGGACCCTCTGCTAAAAGGCCAGCGTTGTGTCGTTCTAGCTGACGGCTTCTACGAGTGGAAGAAGCAGGAGAAAGGCAAGCAGCCCTTCTTCATTTATTTCCCCCAGAGACAGGGACCACCAGGGCTCACTCAGCGAGACAAGCAGGAGGAAGAGAGGAAGATGCTGTATCAACAGACTGAGGGTCAAAGAGTGGGAAAGGTGAGAAGGTTGGAATTTATTTTGGATATAAAGAATCGTATCTTATATGTTTTCCCAGAAGCATTGCAGGAAAAAGATGATCGCATGGTGCTGAGGAATATGAAAGCATATGGTGGTAAATAAAGAATGGCTGCATGATATGGCAGCATACCATAGTGTGATACTGTGACAAACTGTGATGGCAATATGACTTGCAGTATATTGGAAACAAATAGGTGAACCATTAATGTGGCTTGGTTAATTATTAGCCTTAGAAGGGGCAATATGACTATTTTATTGCAGTCGCTTTTGTGATAAATTGTGATAATATGCTTGTTTGAGAATATCATGGATATTAAAAAACACTGACTAACCACGCTCCATTATAAAGACTTACTTAGACGTACTTAATTAGTCCTGTCTAAATGGATTTTGTGTAAATGTTGAATAAAAATCATTATGCCCAAAGTTTTTAAATCTGGCACCACTAGTGCATCGTGCCTGTATTAAAATATTGTGATATATATTATGTATTGTGAAGATGTCTAAGTATTGTGATGTAATATTTTTTGCCATATTGCCCCCCCACCCCTTAATTGGCCTACATTTATTTTTTTGACATAGTAAATCACTTAATTCCTCAAAACTGATTTTAAATATCTGAGATTTTGCTCACAGGCAGTCAAAGGCCATGGTTGGTTAGAGGACTTTTCAGTGATAACTGTGTTGCAAAGGCCAGTATCATGATCATGCTGCCCTACTTTGAACCCACCTACAGTTTACACAATATTAACAATATTACAATATAACGGATTACAGTATAACGGTCCAGTAGCTTTGGGGCAGCTGGATACCTTTTAATTCATTTACAACCCTATTTCCAAAAAAGTGCAGAATGTAAATAAAGAGAGAATGCAATGATATGCAAATCATGTAAACCATATTTTTAAAGGAAAATACTATAAAAACATATGAAATGTTGAAACAGAGAAATGTTATTGCTTTTGAAAAATATATGCCCATTTTAAATATGATGCCAACAACACGTTCCAAAAAAGCTGGGACGGGGGCCTGTTTACCACTGCGTTTCATCACCTCTTCTTTTAACAGCATGCGTTTGTGGATGCAGTGATGAACTGTTTTCACAGACAGCGGTTTTCAGAAGTGTTTCTGAGCCCATGCAGTGATTTTCACTACAGAATCATGTCTGTTTTTAATGCAGTGCCGCCTGAGGGCCCAAAGATCACGGCCAGCAAATACTGGTTTTCAGCCTTGTCCCTTACAGAGATTTCTCTGAATCTTTTAATGTTATTATGTACTGTAGATGATGAAAAACAAAAGTGCTTTGCTATTTTACATTGAGAAATGTTGTTCTTGAATTCTTGCACTATTTGATCGTGCAGTCTTCCACAGAGTGGTGAAGCCCTCCTCATCTTTACTTCTGAAAGACTTTTATACCCAGTCATGTTACTGACCTGTTGCAAATCAACCACCAGGTGCGTTTTTTAGCATTACACAACTTTACCAGCCTTTTGTTGCCCCCGTCCCGACTTTTTTGGAATGTGTTGTTGGCATCAAATTCGAAACATTTCAACATTTGATATGTTGTCTTTGCACTGTTTTCAAATAAATATAGGGTTTTAATGATTTTGTTTTTATTTACATTTTGCAAAGCGTCCCAACTTTTTTGGAAATTGTTTTTTTTTTTTGTTCAGTATGATCTGTATGTGTAACACAGCCCTCCATAAGGTATACAGTACAGTAGGCTGTGCCTTGCTTAGTGGGCCTTTATGTCAGCTAGTTCACAATTCTGGATGCAGGCTTTCTTTGTCTCCTTTAACAGGGCGTGAAAGAGGTCAGTGAGTGGAAAGGGTGGCGTCTGCTCACCATGGCTGGTCTGTTTGACTGCTGGGCTCCACCTGGTGGTGGGGAGCTTCTGTACACGTACACTGTGATCACTGTGAACGCCTCACCAAACCTGCAAAGCATCCATGACAGGTGTGGTACTGAATCACTCACATTATATAAGGAATTAGGTCCATCGCTGAATATATTAGTAATTACTAATAATCTACTAATGATTTTAAATGCTTTCATAATAGGTTTTTGGAAAAAAAGGGAATTCAGCCAAGTTGAGAGTTATTAGCAGGGTTTCCATCCAGTTTAAATTGACTGAATAACTGACATGTCGCAAAAAAGGATGCAAATAAAGCTCTTTACAAGAGAATGAAACTCTACATCATGTCTGTAAAAGACGTATAAGAAATATGGAGCAAATTTATGGCAGTGTTAGAGTTGAGTAATGTCTCTTGCAGTTTTGTCGAACTTTAACAGTAAACAATGTCAAACAGCCATACAAACTTTTATGCTTTTAAGCTATTCAGTGTTTGTCTTTTACTCGATATGCCAAAATATGTCTAAATAAAAAGAGAGAGAGAAATTGGTGATTATACAATGAACTGGAACGTATCCATAACTTATTAGTAGTACATACACAGCCCATTAAAAATATTCATACCGTGTATTATTAAGGGCTAAAAAGTTTTTCCTGTAATATTCCATTTTACATACAAGGCCATAAAATGAGATTTTTTTTTTTTGTGAACATTTATTGTAAACTGTGACGGTTTCACGGTTCGAGTGCTTGTGTCCTTCAGAATGCCTGCTATTCTGGATGGAGAGGAGGAGGTGAGACAGTGGTTGGATTTCGGAGAGGTGAGGTCACTGGAAGCTCTGAAATTGCTTCAGTCTAAATCTTGTCTGATCTGTCACCCCGTCTCCTCGTTCGTCAACAACACCCGAAACAACTCGCCGGAGTGCCTGCAGCCCATCGACCCCACAGCCAAGAAGGTATTTCACTTTGCATGTAGATAATCAGATAACATATTAACAAACAGCATGAAACCATATTACTGCTTCACAGTGTGGAATCAGTTATTTTATTCATTATAATTTTATTCACTAGTAGCTGAATTATATTATATATATATATATATATATTTCAATATGTTAAACTCACAATTGTGCACTAAAATTTGCAGATTAATGATATATAATTGAAATAGAATTATCTTATTTTAGTTAGTACCCTTTTACCATAATTCCTTGATGGGTTATCTGCCCTGAGATTTCTTAACCACTTTTGAAAGGGATATTAATTTTATTAAAACTTAATGATGTGCAGCTTGATGAATTCTTAGGGGATCACCTACAGTTCTGCTCATCATTCCTGACACATCAAACCTTTTTTTAATACAGGTTCCTAATTAGCTGAACTAATTAGCTGAAATCTGTTATGATGCTACTATTTGACAACTTGCCAGAATCTTTATATACAAATTTCTTCAACAAATTCATTTCATATTAATTGAGCGATTGAAACTTATGGACGGTAGTAGAGCAGTGGGCAGTATGACGATATGTTTTTGTTATTGTGATAAATTACATCACAGATACACTTTTCTGCTTTTCTGTATCATCACCACTACAAACTACAACATAAACCGGCGTATAATAACCGCATAATAAGTAGCTAATTGCACGTCAGCCGATAATGACATTTTATTCATTTTTATCAATTACTTGATGTTCCCTCCTGTTTATTTTTGCCAGTGTTGAATAATATTTATTGTTCATTTTTTTCAATTTTTTTTTACTGCAACTTCGCTTCATTCCGCTTTTCCTAGGTTCCCCAGACAACAGCCAGCAGTAAGATGATGATAAGCTGGCTGAAAACTGGCTCACCCAGTAAGAGGAAAGAACCTGATACTGATACCGAAGCTAAAGGAGGAAAAACTCCAGAGAAACTGAAGTCTAAGCCTGTTGGGCCGATGCAGCAGTGGCTGCTGGGGAACAGTCCCAGCAAGAAGCCGAGACCTTAAAGCTCCCGTTCAGCTTCTGTCTTTTGGTAAACGTGCTTTTAAACATGCTGTGATGGCCATTTATTAGCGTCAGAGTTTAGTCTGTGCTCTGATGGATTTTCTGCTTTGCTTCCTAAAAGTGATCAGCTGGTACTCTAATAATAATACATCAGAAAAAAGCTTGAAAATCCACACATTCGTTAAACACAGATTGTGTATATGTATGGATGCGTAGGCTTTGGCCTTGTTTGTAACTATTTTTTTGTTCTATTTCCAGGTCCTTCTAACTGCCTTAGAAGAGACCAGCTTCATGCATACATCCTTGGGATCGCATATGCAGCCAGCCCCTCTGCTTTAGCATTGTCCTCTAAAAGAAATGGCTAAATTGGGTCAGTGTAAAAGAGTTTCTGCCCTCTCCAAGTAAAGATTTAGCACTTAACATCTTGGTAAACAAAATGTTTTAACCTCTACAGTTCTTAAGACATATGTAGCCTTAGCTGTTCAAGCAGTATCTGTTATTACTTGGATATACTGCGCTAAGAAAGTGGGCGGTTCATAATTTCAGAATTTTTCAGTCCAGATGTAGCTTTAATTGAAATGACCCAATGTCTACTATACCTCTACAAGTACATACTCAGTCTCCAGCATCAGTTAACTTTGATTAAAGGGGAAATTCCACTGACTTTTAAAAAATGTCTGCTTAACTAAATGGTTAAAAAAGGTCTTTGAGTGGTTTGATGTGAACCAACCATCCGAATTGTTCACAGCGGTGATGGGAACCAGACTGAAGAGTTCAGTTCACTAAACAGGGCCCAGATGTCTGAAGAATTTAATTCACTGAACAGAAAGTTATCAAACGAAATGGTTACGAATAAGCTGCCTGACGCCAGAGACATTTCGTTTTTAGATAGAATTTTAGCCTAAAAAGTACTTTTAAAAACACATTCAGGAAGGAGAAGCAGATGCAGGGCATTATAGGGCAGATAGTCCACACACTGTTTGGGATGCATCACAATTACATGTCACTTTCTTCACGTCTCAACAGTTACGATGAGTTATGCTGATATTTTGCAAAATTGGTGGAGTCCCCCTTTAAGTCTGGAACATATAGTGCAGGTATTTTGTCAAGCCTTTACCACAAAAACATTAGCTGTGATATTTAACAGATTTTTTTTTTACAGTCCATGATAAACATGAATTCCTGAACAGTTGTTCCTGTTAGCATTTAATTACTATTCAGTTGTTGCTGCTGTTAAATTGTTAGCAATTCTTAACGTTGCTCTGCATAAAATACAATTCCTCCGCCACGTCTGTTCTCTTGGGGGGGAAAAAAAGGCACTGCACAAAAAAAAGATTTATTCAACAAGTTTTTTTTTATTTTCATTATTACTTTGAAATACATTTATTTTCAAACGATGTATATGCTGTGCTGTAATAAATGTTTCATTAATTATGATGAATGCTTCACTTCTCCCCATTGTTGCCTATTTGTGTGTGTGAATTTGTTTTTGTCCACCTATTTAGGTCAGTTAATAATAACAATACAAAATCATAATAATAGTAATGATAATATTATTATTAATAATAATAATAATAATAATAATAATAATATTGAATAAACAGATAGTAAAATATCCGAGTGATACCAAGCTTACTTCTTCTCTATCCTGAGCCGCTAGCAGAGATGGAGCGAAATATGGAAAAAAAACAAACAGGCAGGAAGTTGGCTTGCGTCACTAATCGGATAAATTCGCAGTAATTGCAAAAAGTCCTGCTGACCACAGGGTCAACGATTTGGAAAAGAAAGAAAACACTACTGAATTAGACTAAATGTCACTGTTGCACTGACTTTAGTGACTGAACTTCTTACTCAAAAAGATACCAGAGCACCCCCCATCCCTGACTACACGATTGCCTAGTTGCTTGGTTCGACTTTCTCATCTTGTATGCAGGCTCATGAAGCCCTCTGTGCATGTGAGGGATTTGGGTGTTGGTGTATACTTGGTCATGCACTAGGGGGCAGTGTTCAAAGTAGATGCGGCTCATATGCTTCAGAGTAAAGCCATCGAAGGGGAATTCCACCAAAATCTACATAATTGGTTAATATGTAAACAAAGCCATTCAGGGTGGTTTGATGTGAAATGCCCTGTCCTACAGAGACTAAGTTTCAGACTTGTTCACAGTGGTGGTGATAGGAACCAGACGTCTGAAGAGTTTAATGCCTCTAAAATCTCCCTCATTACATTCCTTATTACATGAAATAATTACCGATGCACCACCAGATGCCTGAGACATTGTTTTATGATAGATTTAAGAAGGTTCTGGCCTTAAAAATACATTGAGTGGTACATGCATATTTGCATTTCTTGAGGCAAAACAGCACCAAAAGAAATATTTTTTTCCAGATTTAACACTATTTTACCATTTTCAACATTACAAATGGTGGTTTTGGATAGTAAATAAAATCTTGCGACCCCTCATTCGCATCACCACCACTGTAAAGATATTAGTGGTTTGTCTACAATGCACCATTTCCTCAAACCACCATGAACGACTTTTGTTTACATCCCAAACACCGAATTCTGAAAAACCTGTGGAATTCCCTTTTTAAGAGATAAACTGCTGATCCAGAGTCAGTTTTCCTCCCTCCCTCACTCTGACACTTCTTTACACGTGTGGGCCTCAGATCAAGCACGACTGCGAGAAGGTTTTACGCTAAAGTAAAGCAAACAAAGCACATAAACAGCTTTGCTTTGTTGGCGCCATCCGGCGTCGCGCGTAGAGCCGCCCGTCGAACCAGTTTGAGAAAGAGCAGACAGTTCTGATACCAACACAGAGCTTTTAATACACCGATTATATTACACAGCCCCATCGATCTTACAGATTCCAGTTACATGGTGGGTTCATATAAAAAGTCTCAGAAACCATTTCAAGTGCTGTGAGAGTTTCAGGGTTAACAGTGTGTGAGGGTGTGCATGTGTCCGACAGGAACTGAAGGGATTCTAAGGGATCCTGTGAAAGGTGTTAGGACTCTGTGACAAGATTAAGGTTAAAAGAGCTAATACCGAGGGCCTGGAAACACTTGTGTACCAAAATTTGTTTGAAATTATTTCTTTGGGCTTCAGACAGAGCCTCTTTGAGCACTTTTGAGTGTGTGAGTGCGCGCGTTTCGTGGTGTGTATACGTGTGTCTATGGTCGTGAGTGCAATTTGTATAGGGGATATTCTAGGAGAGGAAGCCTGCTTGCTCTATGAAGGCCAGTGATTACATTGGGGAAAAGAGAGAGGGGGAGAGAGAGAGAGAGAATAAGAGCGTGTGTGTGAGAGAGAGAGAGAGAGAGCGACGGAGGAATACGTAAAGAGGGACTGTGGAAAAAGAGGGTGGTGAGGAGGAAACAAGGCCAGAGAGGGTAAGGGTGGTCAGTAGCGCCCCCTGGAGGTCTTCAGCAGCTGCAGGTTTCTGCAGAGGGCTTGGCTCTCTCGTTCCGGTCCAGCTTGATAGGTTCTGGGAACTCGTTGTACAACTCCACTTCAGTTTCCTGAGAAAACGACACCAGATCAGAGGAACGGCCTTAGATCTACTAGTGCAAACCAGATATCAATAACTTTTTTGGAGAAAAATGAAAAGCCAAACCTATTATTGAATAATTAAATACAAAATATGAGCTTAAAGTGAAGACTTTCAGCTTTAAAGAGGGTATTTACATCCAAATTGGGTGAATAGTGTAGGAATTGCAACCATTTTCATACATAACCCCCCATATTTAGGTGCTCAAAGTTACTGGACAAACTAAATTACACTATCATTTTAATACTTGGTTGCAAATCCTTTTCTGAAGTCTGGAACACAAACCACCACATGCTGGGCTTCTTTCAGCTACTTAATTTCCTGCCTGTTGGGGCATTTAATCCTCAGTAAGTGAAATGCATTCACTGGACTGAGGTCAGGTGATTGACGTGGCCACTGCAGAACATTCCACTTCTTTGCTGTCAAAAAGTCTTGGGTTGCTTTCGCAGTGTGCTTTGAGTCATTGTCCATCTAGACTCTGAAGCATTCGTTTGGGTCTGAGCAGATAATATAGCCCTGTATATTTCAGTATTCATCCTCCTGATTTTGTCAATACTCCAATAAATACAAGAGAACCAGTTCCACTGGCAGCCATACATGCCCATACCATAACACTACCTCCACCATGCTTGACAGATGAGGTGGTGTGCTTTTGAAGCAGTTCCTTCCCTTCTCCGTAATCTTTTCTTCCAATCATTCCAAGTTGATCATTGTCTCATCTGTTTATAAGATGTTGTTCCAGAGCTGTACAGACCTTTTTAGATGCCTTTTGACAAAGTCTAATCTGGTCTTCCTGTGATTGCGGTGTACGTGTTGTGGTAAATCCTCTGTATTTCCTCTGGTCAAGTTTTTCCTCAACTGTTGGCTTTGACACAGATACACGTACCTCTTTACGCATTCTCGCCAACCGCTGTGAAGGGGTTTTTCTTCACCAAGGAAAAAAAACTGTTTTACACCACATTGGTTTTCCATGGCATTCTGAGCAGCCAACTGTCCTAATCACCTTTGAAATCCCCTAAAAATGTGCGATGATTAATTTCTTCACCGTTCACGCAATTTGGATGGAAATCCTCTCAAACTACTGAAAGTCTTCGAGCTCATATTATTTAGTAATTTCAACTCCAATATGCCGTGGTAGACAGCATAAAATAATATCTTGGTCAATATCCAAATATTTATGGACTTCAGGGACGATTTCCTACAGAGCAACTAAACTATGCTACTTCAAGAACTAAGCCATGTAATTACTACTATAAATCTGAACAAATTCTTAACCTAACCATACAAAGAAACCCTCCCAAAACCCCCCCCAAAAAATCCTTGTTTTCCCATTCCACCATTTATTATAATGAATGAGTATTCATTATACAGCTTCACTATATCTGATTTATTCATTGGGGTGTAATTTTAAGGGCATTATCCAAGTAACTCAGAAAATGTTAAAATTACTAATGTATTTCTCAATACAATAAATCAAAATCAATAAAATATATGAAGGAAACAAACAAAAACTACTATAAAGACTTGTTTCAACATTAAAATGCTTATAGTAACGAGTCTACATGCTTTGCTGTATCAGATTTATTTTTTTGGGCGCAAGTAAAGTGAAGTAAAGCTATATTAAGTAACTCCAGGAAGAGGAAGAACGAATTTTCATAATTCTTCCATCACAAGTGATGCCTACTGAAAGAATTTCTCACACCTTCCTTATCAAAAGGAACCGGTTACACTTTAGTCTGAACCTTTAATTCACATGTACTGTTCAGCACCTCAGTACTATAATGCATCACCGTTCAAATGTTCATACCACATTGTAAAATACTGCGTATGTAAACATTCACATTCATCTCTTTTAGGCTCTTTTCACAACAATGTATTCTGTATGTTCTATTTAATTTTGCCCCTTTTATGTCATATTTTCTTAAATATTTGTTAATAGATGCATACTCATCTGGTCTGTTCAGTAGATTGCATACACACGTGCACACCAACACAAATTTGTTGTGTGTGTGTGTCATTTGTAATGTACCTGTTTCAGTGCGTTGCGTGCAATAGTCTGGAAAGCCTGTTCTACGTTGATGGCCTCTTTGGCGCTGGTCTCAAAGTAGGGGATGTTGTTCTTGCTCTGGCACCAGGCTTGTGCCCTCTTGGTGGTTACCTGAGAGACGAGGAGGAATAAGAGACTTAATCTTACCCTCGAAACAACTCAACACTAGTAGTTACATCTACAGTGCATCATTTAGCTATGTAAAACCAAATATGCAAAGCTGACTTAAAATGATATTTAGCAAAAAATTGAATTTGTATCTTAACCTAAATGGAGTCGATCAGCCAAGACGTGTTTTCTGAAGTTTGCTATTTACACAATGCAAACTGGTGGAGTATAAGCTTCCATTGGGGTATAAGCTACATTAGCTTTGTAGCTCCAGGGCAAAACTGAAGAATCAAACGTCATTTACCAAACTTGTTTTGGCTGAACAACATCTGATAGATGATGATAATGGTGTAAATTACGTTTCTGGCTGAACTTTCCGTTCAACTTGCATTGTATATTCTAAACAAAGTATCCCACCCTGAGAGCACAGCATATTATTGGAACTTACAGGGGAATTCCCTGTATTCTTTCGAGACTTCTGCATAATTAAGTTGAGAGAGTGGTTAGTGATGAAATGCTCAGTTCTAGAAAAACTCACCAACTCAGAATTGTTAATAGAGGCAGTGAAAGTAACCAGACGTCTGAAGAGTTTAATGCCTCTAAAACCTCATAGAAAAGGTTGAAATGAAATGGCAATGAATACTGCCTGATGCCTGATTGTGTATCGATGGCCATGACATTTTAAACCGCTCATGAAGGAGAGGTACGTGTAGGGCAGAATTAGATTTTAGATAATAAATAAATAAATAAATAAAAAATATCCTCCGTTGCAGTAAAATAAAGCTCTGCTGATCATTCTGACACAATTTTAACAATAAATGGTTGTAAACACTGGCGTTAATGTAGAATATATCTGCTCATTCACCTTTTAACCCTGAAGGTTAGCGCACATACTGCTGGTCACATAGCAACGCAGACAACAGTCTTGTCTAGCTAGTAGGTAACGAAACGGCATAAATCAATAATTTTGAGATGAATGGACAGACTTATTCGCATTTATAAGCACTCAGCTGGTTTCCTGATACGTTTAATCTGCAACAATTAACTGCCAAATACTAAAATATCACAAAGATGAAATCAGTTTCTTGTTCAAATTGTCCCGTTCCACCTTAAATGGTGCCGCAGTTGCATTCTGCCGCCTCAGGCACCATTTAAGGTGGAACGGGAAGACATTTTACAAGAAACTGTTCTACTTTTGCAGATAAGTTTCCTGCCGGAGATGCAAGAAAAGTGGCTATAGCTGAGCTAAAGCTTAAAGCAAAGAAAGTCTGCATTTTCGTTTATAGTATTTTTTTTAGCTTATACTAGTACTTTAGCACATAATGAGACATATTTACAGTCAAGATGGTAAAACTTGATAAAATGTTGTGGCTCTCAAGGTGGTCTGATTTTTGTTGAATGGACAAAATGGCTCTGTTTAACAATTGGCTTGCTGACCTCTGATGCAGGGCATTGTAAGGCAAAATAGTCCCTCAAGAAAACTTATGTTTTACCACTGTTTTACCATCAACATAACATATAAAAACTCAGAAGATATGTGCAAGTTCACTGGTCATTTTGAATAGTAAACAAAATGAATGTATTTGCGTTGCTGGCCCTGGTTCGCGGCACCACCACAGTAAAGAAAATCTTACTTGGTAAGTTTCTCTACAATGCAATTTTACATCAAACTACTCTGAAAGTCCTCACATCTCAACAACTGCATTATTCCTAAATTTCTCCTGTATACGAGACTAAATTATTTTGCTATTTTCAAGTTCTGATAGCTTTTTTCAGAGAGATCTAAACACACAAACCCAAAGTTAATGAGTCATACAGTTCCAGTCCCATTACGACACTCCCCACCCACAGCACCCACCTGCCTATTCTCCAGGTCGATTTTGTTGCCAAGCACCACGAAGGGAAAGTTTTCTGGGTCACGCGGGCTGGCCTGGATCAGGAACTCGTCCCTCCAGCTGTCCAGCGTCTTGAAGGTGTTGGGCGCTGTCACGTCAAAGACAAGCACACAGCAGTCGGCGCCACGATAGAACGCCACGCCCAGAGACTGAAAACGCTCCTGACCCGCCGTGTCCCAAATCTGCACAGGTGAGAAGGATACAGAGTTAAATCAAAGCACATCGCAAGCTTAAAACCATTCTGACCGCACATCATTTGCCTGAAATCTGAACAGTTATCATGTTGATCTTCCATTCTGGACCACATTCAAATACTGACAGATCTATCTGACCAAATGCCTGCATGTTGATGGCTTATCTATACAAAAAAAGCTCAAAATCACCAATAGACAAAACAAAAAAACAAACAAAAAAACCCCAAAATAAACAAAAAAAAACAAACAAAACAACCACCTGAGTTTCACTTATTTTCACTTATAACAGTCTTATGCTGAAGTTTGGGTGCCCCAGGTCAAATGTTTTGTTTTGTTTATCTTCAAATTGAAAATAAATTTACAAACTTCAAATTTTAGTGCTTATTTAGTAAAAAGTTTGCTGAGTATAACATATTGGAAGCATAAAATTAATATAAAATTATTATTTTTTTAACCAATATGTAAAACTCAGCAAATACTTAGAAATTGTGTTACTAAAGCTACTAAAACTTGCTGAAAAATGCCATATTCAAGTTTGTTCTCTGTAGAGGAAGTGTTAAATCAATCAACAGACTTTTGCAGACTGTATGTGTGGTTATTATGTACCAAAAACAAGAATTCCTTTTTACATGATAATTTTCTAACCCCTGTTTATCCCTTAGAATTAAACTGCCTTTTTGTTACTGTGCCTTCAAGAATGATGTATGTAAACTAGCTCTGTTCTGATTGGATGCACTGCATTGTGCCTCATCCAAAAGAAAGCCAGGCTGAAACACTCATAACTTCACCATGTATAGTGGAGCTAAACTGCTGAAGGCTGAATAGGAATGAATTCCAACTGTTATTTGTGTGTTTCTTCCTTCTTGAACTTCTACATTTACCCAGTGTGCTTTTTACGACAGCTCTGATAATGCCTGACTGTAAGTCTCATGAACGGCTTTTTCATATCTAAACACATACAATTAAGGACATGTTCAGACTTGGTGGGTTAGGTTTGATTAAAATGAACCCTGGTGCGACTGCACTGTTAGTGTGGATCGTTATAATGTGAAAACTCTGCCATTCGTACTCTGGTACGCATCAAACAAGTGGACAGAGACCCCCTGAGCAGGTCGGACTCGGTTTGCTATAAAATGAACTTCTTTAAAAGCATGAATGCAGTACGGACCAAAGACATCTAAAAGGACCAGAGACCGAATGAACGGTCATCTCCTTTCTGCAGAACTTCTTTGGTTCATGGAAAAGAGAAAGCTTTGATGCTATTTTGACACATGCATGTGTTTTATGTCTTCATGAGCTCTAAATCGGTAATTAGAGAACATATAGTTTTGCTTTTAAAACGAGACTGAGGCAAATTTGAACTCCTTATAAAAACACTCAATATGCACATTTGACTGCACACATAAGTTATGTTATGTATTAAGGTGCCAAGGTTTCTCCATTGTGTAAAAGCAGTGAGCCACTGGATGCTGTTACAGGGGTTTCTCCCTCCTTGGCATCATGCAAAACCCAGTTAATGCAGAGAGTCTCATGACTGACTATTCTAATATCACAAGACAGATAAAACGAGGCATAAATAAAACCATCGAGCCCAGATAGAACAGAGATCAGTTAATGTTGGACAAGACTTTTAACATTGCGACAACAACGAGTGTGTTTACATGCACCGATAACCGCAGAAAATCACTTTTTGTCAGTAATCCAATCAACGTGTTTACATGCACTTGAGTAAACAGATAACGGGGAAACTCCAGGTCTATATGAGTCAGGCAGTAATCAGATTTCTGCTTTGCAACCAGCCAATAAACTCACAAAAGAAGACGTGACATAAACGTAGCATAACACTCAAACTTAATGCCGCTGCTTTTAAAAAGAAAACAAACCCCCCCCCCTCAAAAAAAAAAATCGTACCACACGCTGAATATATGAACACACATCATCTAGAAGTTAAAAAATATATCTAAATCCTTCATTTCGTCAAGCATGTAGTTGGTTTCAGCATCGCTCCAGTCTTTTGCTGCCTCTCACAGCGACACTCCTCGCTTATTTCTGTTTTGCACATGTGCAGACTGAGAAATCCGAAAGAAATCAGAGTAAGAGTTCACATGCACTGAGAAATCTGATTACTGAGCTAAAATCCAGCTCTCTTTATCGGATTTCTAGACCTTACTCCAATCTAAGAAATCTCAGTATGCTGTTTACATGACCATTTAAATAATGAGATAACTGCAGAAATACGATTATGATCGGAATATTGAGTGCCTCAATAAGTGCTGAGTGTTATATATATGCCTATATGGCAACACAACTGACTGAAACAGGTATGTATAGTCATATGCAGACTTTTGAATGATCCTGGTCAAAATAAATATTTTGTTGACGTCAACATACCCTTTACAGAGAAAAGCAGTATGTTAAATTCAGCAAATAAACAGTGATTGTGTATGAAAATGTGCAGAAGTGTGATCTCTGCAGAGGATGTGCACTTAAATCAACAAAGTTTGTTTGACACACAAACTTTTGCAGTCTTAAAGTCTTAAAACTGTAAATGTCTCTGTCACAGCTCCTCACTATGTGCTATAAAATCACATTAGATGGTGTAATTCTATACAAAACTACAGCATATTTTTTGTGCTATATAGAAGTGACTTGCAGAATCAGAATATGAAGGGATGTTTGTTCTGTTTTCTACAAAGATTAGGCCTAGATTTGGACCTAATTACACTCAGTGTGGATTATTTACTTGCAAATACTAGTATAAGTCTGCTTGAGGACATAGGACTGCAATGTGTACTGCTTTGTACCTGCATTGTGACGAGCCGGTCGTCCACCATCACCTCTTTCGTCAGGAAATCGGCTCCTATTGTGGCTTTGTACTGATTGCTAAACTTCTTGTTCACATACTGGTTCATCAGAGAAGTCTTCCCCACTCTGCGGAGACATGCATACGCACAGCGTTTCAAGCTCAAACCACATAGTAAAGAGGAACTGAAAGCTCAGCAGTGCGTCTTCACCCACAACAACAGATGCCACAACCTTAGAGTTTTTTGAAAAATAACATTAAGCACAAAGGAAGTCACATTCAAACGGTACCCAAAAATAACACGTTTGCATGAGTACAGTGTAAAATCTGAACATAAACGGTCAACGGAACATGAAACGATCCAGGATCAGATTCTTGTTCTTCGTAAAAAGAGACACGTCCACAAATTTCCTTTTGAACCGAGATGCTTTCTGAATGTTTATCTTCAGAAAGCTTTGAGGTTTTACCCACGCCACTTCTACTAATCAATCTGGTAACTTCAGCAAATGAGGTATCATCTTATCCAAAACATGCAAACACAATAAGCTGAAGAAAGTGAATCTCTGATGTCAGCAGATGGCTATGATCAAGCCAGCTACACTAAAGAAAGATTTCTTTCATCTTTACCAGTTTTCAAAACCATAATGATGAGAACGTGTTTAAAAAACGCTTTAGACCACAAACGTATTGCGGTGAGCTCATTAGTCAGACAACAGTTGAAGGCTTTCTGCATAAACTGTTGACCAGTACTGCACAGTTTAGTGGTTTTCCTGCTTCTAGTCAAGATAAAGAGGGATGCGACTGATTTTTTCAAAATTTGTGGTTAATTAAAGTGTGGTTTTCAACCTGTGGGCCCTGGTGGTACTCTTCTGTAAATTATATATATTTTTTAAATTGTAAAGTTTTATTACAGTATTTAGACATTTATCAAAAAATGATGACAAATATTGTTGTGAAAACTGTTTGCAAAAACAAAATATATATATTTAGGTCAAACTCAATGACTAGCCAGGCAAATGCATGACTGAGATAACTAACATGGCTAGTAGTGCTTATATTTTCAGTGCAAGTCAATGTAAAAAATCTCTCTTACTGATCATATGGATCATTTTTTGTGGATAAATGGCTACAAACAGAACATTTTTGGAAAAAATCAAGTGAAACCTGAATGGTTACACTACTGAGTTATATTTATTTGCACTGTAGATATCACAACCCCTGGTTCCCATCACCACCACTGTCAATAAATCAGTTTGTAAGTTTCTCTATAGTAACCATTTCATATCAAACCATGCTGAATGACGTTTACATCTAAAAATTTCATTATTTCAAAATTTAGCTAAATCGATGGAATTGTTATGGCCGACTAGGGGTCTCTGCTTTAGTGTCTTGTGTCAAATCCTTTGAGTTAGATACCCACCCTGAGTCTCCGAGGATGATCACTTTCAGTAGAACTTTCTTCCTCGATGTCATTGTGTCACAGCTAAGGAAACAGGAAAGGTCACAGTATGAGCACATGACCATTATGTCACAGGTCACACAAGAGCAACATGTTCACAAATAAAGCTTTTTAATCACACAAAGAGACACACAGACATCACAATAAAGGATCAACTAAAACATATAACACTATGTTAGCTGTAGGAATGAATATGATGTGCAAAACGGCTTTGCTTCTAGTGAACACAATCCGAGACAAGTTGTTAGCTGTCCTATTCTAGTTGTTTATGTACAATAACTAGCCTACATTGACACTACTGTCCTTTGGCAACCACAAGCTACAGAGTTAACTGACCTATCCAAGCCCCGGCCACCAAAAACATACTTACTGTTGTGAGATTGGACAAGCTTTACAGAATGCTGACAAAAAATGTACTCATGCTAATGAAAAACTATCTAACTAACTTCACAACGGTTTGATTTGTGTGTTTTCTGAAAATATATATTTTGTATACATGTGAAAGATATCAGGGGACAACCTGTTAAATTTTTGTGCTAAACTGTGGCGAAATGTGCCGCTAACAAGAGTACATGCTCTCTAAAACTCTCCCCCAAATTTCTCTAATCCGCACTCTTTTAACGTCTAGAATACAAAGATAACAGTTTATTTTTACAGTGTTCTCCGCACACACAACACATCTACGTGCTTTATTGGAGTTTTTGGGGGGCTTGTCAGCAATGATGACTTACATTACATCCACAGGCTAACAACAGGGCAGTTGTTCATCAGACAATGTTGATGAGCACGCCATCGCCCCCTACTTTGAGCTGCCCCTTTCATGTGGCGTTGGATTGTTTTAAAAATTTCCTACTCGGTTTGTTCCCACTCACATTTTTCTCAAAATTACTCATGGTAGTCCCCACACGTCCTCATTACTGGATCATGTCTGACCATGCGAGACTAAGACCACGTTTACACTACAAGCCTCATTGCTCAATTCTGATTTTTGTTCAGATCCAATCCAATCCAGATTCGTGTTGGTAAGTGACTCAAATCAATCATTAATGTGAACACACCTGCATCCTAAGACACCCTGAATGAGCACATCCTAATTAATAAAGCCATGTAACGTCATGTGTCACTGATCTAGAACCACATATGAAAGGCTACGTTCACATTACCAGGTTGAAGTGCCACAAATCCGATCCCTAATGTGACTCAGATCTGATGTTTTCAGGGCTGTGTGGACACGCAAATCTGATCTTTTCAAATCCGACCGGAGCCACTTTCAGCATTACCATGGCAACAGCGCCGAACAGAAGTTAAAGCCTGTAAACGGTGGAAAAGCAACACATCTCACTTTTTCTCCTTCGTCTCGCTCTAATAATGAAGCTGAGAGCTGATCAGAGTTAATGATCTTCACAGCGAAGCTCGTTCTGCTCGTTAGTCTGTTTGCTTGCTGATGATGAACGAATGTGATTCATTCACGTGACGTTACTGAGTAGGATGTGCTCGTGCGGGTCATTTCAGGACCCCGGTTCGTTCACATTAATTACAGATTTGAATGACTTACCTAAACGAGTATGAACCATCGTGTCAGAGAAATCAGATTTGAGCAAAAAATTGGAGCAAAAAGTTGGATTAGAGCAATGAAGCTTGTAATGTGAACGTAGCCAAAGCGGCTCAGATCAGATCTGAAAAGATCAGATTTGCGTGTCCACACAGCTCTGAAAACATCAGATCTGTATCACGTTAAGGCAAAAAATCTGATTTATGCCACTTCAGCATGGTAATGTGAACACAGCACGAGTTTCAATTAGCTACAACAACACAACCCAGCTCGATAACGTCACATGTTAAACAGATTTTAAATTATGCAGCAACTTAGCATTGTAAAGGTTCAATGTGAACAATTTACAAATTTTGACAAAAAAGTTTTTAGGGATTTTTGCGAACAATCTGTAAAACAAATATGAGAGTTCTTGGCTGACGCCAATATCTTATATTTTTTTATGTATGGATATGCCAATGCTGACACCTATGCATTCATGAAAAGTAAAAATTGGGACTACATCTAACTGGATGAGCATTAAAGAGAATTATACCATTTTCCTGTAGAGGGTTACAAATGCTGTAAAGAGACCAAACTGCAGCACAGCAGCCCAAGATCATCTAAACATTCTGTTCTTCTGGAGTACAATAACTACACCATCAAATACCGGCTGAATTATCAGTCAAATCTAAACATCTAATCAACATCAGTAATTTTAGCTTAAGAAATTATCTGCTAATATGGATGCAATTGCAATATCAGCGTACATTCCTACTGTAAAGCTTGTCCAACGTTGCGACAGCAGCTATGAAAGAATGCTTTTGTGGGTGGAGCGTGGATAAATCAGATCGGTCTGAGCCTTTTTACCTTGGTCTAGAAACTGTTGGCTTTGCAGCTGAGGAGCAGGTGAAGACGGGTAAACACCTTAGCCGAACAAAAACACCATATTACATCACCCTTTCACTGGAAACCAAATGAAGCCAGCTTAACCTACAAAGCAAAAGTCGAAGCTTGAGGCTCAATTACTAACAAGCAGAGTGAATTTTTTTGAAGCCCTAAAGAAACAACACAAGACCAAACGCAAGGTGCACAACATGCATGCTTACCATGTTCTCCGTCAGTAAACGTGGAGCTTGTTCTAGAGTACCCGTGGCACTGCTTTGGAACTTGCTAGCATTAGTTTTGATGAATTTTTTACTATAAAAATATCTAATGGTATCTGCCATAAAACTACTACTACTACTACTGCTACTATGACGCAGCTCTGACAGTCATTAAATAGAAACCCATTGTGTAGGAACCACTCATGTTCCTGCTCTAAATCTCAAACCGGTCATGTGTTCTTGCTCTCCATTACCCCCTCAAAAGTCACGAGGAGTGCCGGTGCATGCTCTCTCAGCTGCTCGCGCGCTCACTCCCTCTCTGTCAAACGTACAGACCCACTTCCTATTAAAATGAAGGCAACAGGATAAAAGTCACTTCTGTAAATGCACGCGTTTCCTCAATATCAGTCTGTCAATCACATATGAAACTCTCGCCTGCTGAAAAGTGTCAAGTACATTATATTTATTAATGAAAAAAAAAAGTGATGGTTCAAACGTTTTTTGCGGTTCAGGTTCTATTTGTGAGCCTCATTATGTTACAGTCTATCATCTCATTATGCTACAAACTTATTATACATTTGTATATCGTATAATACATGGCGTATCAAACATATCATAATATCTCATCAACATAAAAAAGATAACTTGGACCAAGCAAAATTAAGAATACGTGGTCCTAAATAGGGATGGCCATTTCAGTCTAATTTAATATTCAAATTTCAAAAAAAGGAATAGTTCAAAAAAACAAAGGAATCTTGGCCTCAAGCTGCTGCACACCCACATGTCAGGAGACAGCGATCAGTGACACTGACGCCACTCAGCATCTGACTATTACTGCGCTGTGATAAACCCAGACCACAAGCCCACAGTAGGTGGCACGAGGCTTGACATCTACACCAAGAAAGGTCAATCTAAAGTCCTAAAGATAAACAGATACATACCTTTCAGCCAGAAAACAGCAGGTTTGTGACGTTATTTAGCTGATATCAAACCTGAAGTTCACTAAACGATGTTGAAAACTTGCCATGCTATTAAATCTATACAAGTAGAGAGTAACATAAGCTTGAGCTTCTGGTTTATCTGTGATTTCTGCGATGCTTACTATATGCTTCAGCTGTGCTTTGTAGTATCTGCTGCCAAGCACCAGAGACCCTTTGTTGATGTGGAGCTTCTCAGCCAATGTATGGTAGCTTTTAGCTGGATGTAGTAGTCTTTCTACGCTTCCTTGTTTGGACTAAACAGATAAGAATATCTGACCAAAACATAAGACGCAGGCTCTACGCTGTCCTCTGGTAGAGTATAGAGCTCTCACAGTTCTTATGAAAACGTGTAATGTTGTAGACAAGCTGATTTGTATATTTACTATTAGATTATTTAAACTTTCATGACTATTTGAATATTCAAACATTCTGACGAGTTCTTCGTATATAGTTCTAGATTCACTGCAGACATATATTGAATTATATAGTTATTTAAAGAAACTTTCAAAATAGAAAGTAGGTGACGTGATAATAGTGACCACACAACCTAACATTAGCATAAGAACAGGGAGCAGCTATATATTCAGTAAAGAACGTGTTGGAGGCCATTACCTCACACACACAAAACACACTGAAATGGTGTACTGGTGCTGCTGCTAGTCGCCTTGTAAAGCCCGAAATAACCATTTAAAAGTCAGAGGTATGTATTAACGTGATATGTGCGGGTTCAACAAGGAAGTCCGAATCGATGTTTAGGTCTCAAATGCAAAATCAGACTTATACTGATGAAGACATGATGACAGTAGTAGTTAAATTCACTCACATCCACAGAAGACACATCCTTCACCAAGTTTTGACAAGAGTTCTCTTCGAATAATCCTTCAACGCACTCGCTAAATTCAGATTCATCTACTTGTGGGGGTCTGAAGCACCACCGACGTTACAAAGTGTTCTTCTGCATGTGGCCTGCAATTACATATTTCTACCAGAGAGGTCTCCAAATCCCCAAATCCTACACAGGGCTGCTTTAAGTGAAATGCTCAAACGAAAAAGCTTATTAGTTTTCAAAAGAAAAAAAATACCGGATCGCAAAATATATTCTTAATACCAGTATAGGTGGGACACTACAATATTGATTTTAAATTTTACCAGTATTGATAGTTAACAAGAATTATAGCAATGATATTCTATTCAATAATATAAAAATGTCTGCATTTCCACACACTTTAGTTTTGTTGTAGTGTATTTAATTTTGTTCTCTTTAAACATCAGAACAGAAACGTATCAACAAAAAACTAATAAAGAAGGAAAAAAAAAAATCATTTTTAATGTTATTTAATTTTTAATAAATCACATATTTAAGTGATTTTGAATCATTTCTACAAGTTTGTTCATCATGAAACACATGGTGTTTCAGTTTTTAAATAATAGTTAAAACATTACTAAAAAGAGGACAAAAAAAATGGAGATACAAGGTTTTGTTCCAACAGTGATAACATGCTATTATAAAACACTAGATAATAAATTTCATCAACACCACCCAGCACTACTTAATCACCATCTGTATCAGACGATACTTAATGTTTAGGTACCGGTATTGGAAAATAAAGTGCCATCTCAAGTGCCAGGCCAACTGGAAGGGAAGAGAGTGCTGTTCCTAAATACTTGAGCAAATAAATGGAGCTATGAACACAACCTAATGGGGCACAGCGTGTCCTGCAATGCCGACAACGCTGTGACAAGGACATACTCCCTTTGGGAGCGCTGAGAAATGCTTCAGACATATCGGACTCTCTGGCACAACACGCGCCCCATATGGGGAATGCCATCAGCTCAGTGACGAAAACATATTGCTCTAAACAGAAAAACATATTGCACAACAAGGCATGATCCCATTCCAGGAAGACTTCAGCAGAATGACAGCATGAAAAAAGACCCCAGTGTACTAACGGCTGACTCCAACAACAGTGTGGTGAGGGTAAATCATGTTTGATCTGACTGAAATTCAGGGATATCTTATATATGGAAACATAAAACATTTCAGCTTAAGAATAACATCAGCTACATACTTTTTAAATGTAGATATTTTTTATGTTTATGACATTATGTTGGGGCACTTGTGCCTGTACACATACCTGTACTGTTTACCCCTTAACATGAGGGCATTTCTGCCCTTTGCCCTGATTATTTCTGACATGGTCTGTAAGATTTTTTTTTTCCAGAATCTACTTAATCGTTCAAAGTGAACACACTGATTTGCCAATTTATACATAACTCAGCTCTGAAACTATCCTTACAGGTGCTTTGAATGTGCCCTGGTAAGTTATTCTTTCAAAATCTAGAGCACCTTGTTCTGATTACATAAATGTTTCTGGGAAATGAAGTTGGATGCATGTTGCACTGCATGGCCTGGAGCTGTATGTTCACATGATATGAAGTTAGGGCCAAGGAATGGTAGCCAATCGAAATCAGAGACCCAAGACAACAAAAGAACAATAGCCCTAGGCTGGCTGCAGATGCTGGACACAAGGAGACTCAAAACAAGGCAAGTTTCTGAGAAAAGGCCGTGAGGTAAATAATAGCCACGAGGAGTTTGTTCAAGATGAAATCCTGACATGCATGCTCCACCAGCACAGGGCTGTTATTTGCACACCAGTAGCCACAGGAGTGGAACTAGTTTAGCTTGTTTATCTTAGGCTCAGCCCGATACACATACCACATACCTGACTAATAAGAACCTAGTTTTAGGGCTGTCCCGATTACTCGATTAAACGATCTCTGTTTACATGCTCACTACAAGTAATCAGATCCAAAAGTGCACGCATGCGTAGAGAACCACTTAGTGTAGATGTTGCCATAACAACAAGCATCACGTGAGTCCAGTCAGAGTGAAACGAGCAGCAGTGAGCAGCGCTTGTGTTTTTAATTACTTTAAAATGTTGTCAGAAGGCCGAGAGGAAGACGTCGCGTTCTGAGACACATAAGCTGGACGTCCGTCCCACCGCCGTCTTTTAAAGATCAGAGCATAAACTTCGTCTCCTCTGCAGACCAGTTTCTACTCCGCCATGTTGAATGTTATAAACTTTCACTGTGACGTGACGCACATGATCAGAACGTACTTAAACTTTCCGATAGGGAATGTATTTGGATACAGACGTTTACACGGATATTATTCTTCTATTTAACAGATTATTTACAGGATTACCCACCTCGTTCAATCGGATAGAATTTGTATTCCAAATGGCCTCAATCAGACTAGTCTATTCCGACTGAGGTGTATACATGGATGTGTTCTATTCCGATTGAGCTATTTTAGTCTGATTATTACGAACTATCAGGCTGCATGTAAACGTGGCTAACGAATCAGCAGTTATTCTAGAATCTTTGAAAGACTATTCATGGCTTGCCAAAATACCTCATATGAGCTTCCTGGACATTCTAAAACATAAGCATTAACACGAACTTGCCCACTGCCCTACCCCTAAACTGCCGCCATAAAGTTGGAAGCATTAAATATCTTTGCCTCCCATAGCATTAACACTAGTTTCCACTGGAACTAAGAAGTTGAGCCCAAAACCCTGAAAAACAGCCCCAGATCATTATCCCTCCTCCACCAAACTTTACTGTTGGCACTATGCGTTCCAGTAGGTAGCGTTTTCCAGGAATACACAAAACCTGGGTTCAACCATCAGACTGGCAAACTGTGAAGTGCAATTCATCACTGCAAATAAGATGTTTCCACTGCTCCAGAGTCCAGTGTCGCCATACTTTACCACTCCAGTGGTGCAAACTCTTCAGTACAACCCATTTTACTGCCAGTCTTTGTTTGTGGAGATTGCATGGCTTTGTTCTTGATTCTGTACACCTGTTCGCAAAGGGTGTGGGTGAAACACCTGAACTCAATAAACAGGAGGGGTATCTACACACTTCAGGCCATATAATGTAACTGGTTACCCGATTACGTATAAAAATCAACAGTAAAAGTCCTATATAGCTTTGTGAAAGTGTTATAAAGTTAGGATTATTCACCATTAGAGTGTTCAAACACATTCATCAAATGTGCCATGATCTTCTGCTACAATTTTAAGAATATTAAGAGTAAAATATGCATGGCTAAGGTGGATTGGTACTTAATTTGGTTCAATATGCCAAAATGAACCCCCACAATCAGGCTACATAAGAGCGCTGAGATCCATTAGACAAGCTCTCCACGCTTTCATTTTCATATTATGTAACACCAACTTCAGCATGACAATCAGTGAGGTGCATTTACACTGTAACCCCTTTG